ACAGAGTAGATAAGACATATACTAGGTTACCCACAGGGCAGTAATGCTGCCTTTGACAGCAAAAGACAAACTACAGGGTGTTGAACGAGTCCTTCAGAAACATCCTATTATTGTTATCCTAGCCTGCGCAGCGGCTTTCAGAGAAAGTAGATCTGATAGCCACAACGCAGGCTATTGTTATCCTTGTTAACCCATTTATTGACAGCACGGCCCTACCACTGACTGAGTATTAAAAATCGTCTGGCGTTGGACAGGGTAAATACTAAAGTCATTACTGTGCTGATAGATTAACAAGAGCCATTGGCAGATAAGTTTGTTAACCATTTACTGGCACTACCCTGTACCACTGACAAGTAAAATTTTCTGGCGCTAGTTCTGGCGCTGGACAAGGGACTGGCGCATTGCCAGCTAATGGGTTAAACCACCGTGGTTAAACATGAGATTTGATGCTCCAGGAAATGTAAACAAACTATCAGTGTGACATGCCAGTTTATATATTTATATACTCGGAATATTGATTTCTCGGTAAATACAAAATTATTTTAAAGTATAACAACCAGCGAAGACGTAAGCCACTAACTACCCTGCGCGCAGACTCGCACAGACTATATAATGACATATATATGTTATCCGTCCGGTCCGTCCGTCCGTCATTCATCCGTCCGTCCATATCCGCGTTTTATCCTAACTCGTTTTTAAAACACAAAAGTGCGGTTCGTCATGATCAACATTTTCAAAAGCGGCCAATTAGACCAGGGGTTAAAGGGCAATGACAATGACATGCAGATGACATTTAACATTGCGTCTCACTAATTAAAATTTGCGTGTTTATTAATAATGTTTATCAAAGAAAGCAAAAATATATACAAGACAGTCTCATTACGTACTGCCTTGTGATGCAGTACAAGTATAAACACCAAATGACAAAGCATTTGTAAATCCTAAACATAATTGAATCATACGGCACATTCAAGATTTTAATATCGTATTTCAGCCGCGTGTTTATACTGCTTGGCGCATTCGCTGCGTTATATTAATTTATATACACACAAAAGCATGTCATTGTCTTTGCGGACCATAGGCAAAAAGCATTCGTCAACCACATACCAAATTTAAGCAATCGTTAAATTATATACATGTCATGGAAAGAATATGAAAATAATGTTGAATGAAAGCTAGCATCGCGTATAATGTTAAAAGCACCGCATATAGTGCTCGAACCACTGCGTTTAATTGCAAAAGCACCGCGTATATAAATGGTGAAAGCACCGCGTATATAAATGGTGAAAGCACCGCGTATAATGCTGGAACCACAGCGTATAATGCGGGAACCACCGCGTATAATGGCGAAAGCACCGTGTATAATGCCGAAAGCACCACTCACTTTAAGCCAGCTATGGCTTTCCATAAAAGAAGACCAAAGATGAAAGATGATCACATTGCCTGTTTGCCTTATGCTTGACCGCGCTGCACCATGGTTAAAATTCACTGGTACCGTCATGCAATGCGCCAAATAGAAAATTTTGATATCGACCCACAAAACAAAATTAGGATCTGCTGCCTTGCTCGCTCGCTTCAGGCTCGCTCGCTGCGGCAGCAATAAGGCATATGTCTCTACTCTGTGTCACAGTGCAAAAATCTGTAACAAACTGATCTGATTGGTGGAAAAACATTGTGATGATTAAATCAACCAATCAATTTAAAGCAGTTTAGTTTTAAAGCAGTAACGGTCACAGATTGCTTGAAAACAAAACAAACATGGCGCCGCGCTACACAAAGTAAAAGTTGCCTTCGCGTGGAAAATATGGCTTTTATCTTTATATTTAAATGGAAAAGCATTTACCTTAAACAAGACTAACAAAAAATACACAGTTGAGTGGAATTTTCAAGCTGTTAGCGTTGTATAATGTGATAAAACAAAGCCAGGAAAACTTTGCCAGTGGAACGTTCGCTATAAACGCGTAAGTTAAAACTACAATTGTCTCGAACATTTTTATGTAAATTATTAATAAGTAATAGCATGCATGGTTTCTCGTGAAATTTGGATAAACATGCACTCGTGAGTTTTTCAAAGACCTCAAATAGCACTCGTCCTTCGCACTCGTGCTATTTTGAGGTCTTTGAAAAACTCACTCGTGCATGTTATATCCAAATTGCACTCGAAACCATGCTATTACCTATACTCATACACTAGCTATTACATTAGACTTTGTGCAGACTATATATTATAGCTAGTGTTAATTTGTTTTGAGTCTACCTTTTACCTATTATTGTATAGATAGCGTTATGAATGTTTGAAAGATTGTGGACGAGGGCGGGAAATTTATTGTTAATATATTCTAATGGGAAATTAATAAAATTTATTGTTAATATGTCGATCATTCCATCCGACTCCAAACAAAGCCCCGTTTACACTACGCTCAATTTTTGGTACGGCATGGATAAAATTGGTACCCGTACCACTTTTTTGTTTCTTGGACTACCTATTTAGGTAGTCCAAGAAACAAATCGTGGTACGGTACCAAAAATTGAGCGTAGTGTAAACGGTGCTTAGCTAAATAGGTAGTCCAAGAACCAAAAAATTGATACGGGTACCAATTTTATCCGTGCCGTACCAAAAATTGAGCGTAGTGTGAACGGGGCTCAAATAGCAATCGGGTTTTTCGCCACCTTTAAACTCTTCCTGCAGATAGCTTCATCGAATTTGTAAATGTTTTTGTACGAATCAAACCAATAGCCAGCCAAACTTAAAAAGTCTATACCACTGTTCGGTTTTTCAATTAATTTTCTTCACATATAACAGCGCGTGATCACAACCACCTTCCCTCAGACTCGTTCTTTATAAACAGTTTTATTAAGTAAACATACATTTTCCCTAAATCAGACAATAACTTCATGATCTGCACACTCGGCTACCCACGTTCTTTAAAAGTAAACATGCATGCATTTGCGGCACTGGTATCATTGTTGGGTTAATATATATATATAGGGTTTGTAATCCAAGTGATTATATACATTTTAAAACCTGACCAGGAACGACTGCGAAAAATGCAGCACAAGGTCCTCTGGTAGGAATTGAACCTACGCCCCGCACCGGAATCGCAGGGTCGTAGGTTCAATTCCTACCAGAGGACCTTGTGCTGCATTTTTCGCAGTCGTTCCTGGTCAGGTCTTAAAATGTATATAATCACTTGAATTACAAACCCTAACATTCTAATATTAATTCCACCAAGTGAAGTGCAAGAAACCACGTCATTCAAGTCCACCTTAAACTTAATATATAAAGTCATCTTTATTTGTTATTTTCGTGTATGGTAATTTGTTTGATATTTTATATCGTCGTTTTACATTTACAAGCAGAAACTTGTCTGTTTGGACTATTTTTTAGTTCAGGTTATATAGGTCACGACAACAGTATTAATAATAAGTTTATAACAGAGCGTATAGTATCTGAATTTTAGATATCGTATGACAACACAGCGTAACAACATACCATGCGTAATCTAAAATTATCATAATATTAACAGTTAATCTGCAAAATGGCTTGAAATATTCAAGTGTCAAACTAAATTTGAAATACATACAAAAAAAATAGAAAGTACATATTGAAAAACAGGATTTGCATTATTAATTGCGCATGCTAGCCTAGAACTCCTGTGGTAATAATTGGCTATCGCGCAGATCATGGTGGCGTTTCTCGCGAGAATCAACACTTGTTGATGCATGATCTTATAGGTGATAAATGACAAATACATTTTACATTATAAAAGTATATATGATACATCATGTAACGCATGTATTATGAAAGGTCGCTCACACTCAAGAGTGCAGGTAAATGCGTAATACATGTGTAACATATACTCGGCTTCCGCAGAGTATATTATATACATGTACTGTATTACGAATCACGTTTGACTATAGCCCTACAGGGATAACGAGGGATCGTATGTAGTGTTTCTTAAAGAACGAGGGATTGTTGTAATCATGTTAATGTCTGATATAATCAAAATGTATGTTTTATAGTTAATATAGTGTTTAATAAAGAATAGTCAATATAGTGTTTGTTAAAGAACGAGGGATAGTTGTAATCATGTTAATGTAAAGAACGAGGGATGGTTGTATAATGTCTGATATAAAAGGGAGTGTTAACGCATATGCCGCACGACCGTCTGTATTGAAAATTACGGATCGTAACGATCCGATAACAGATGCCTATCAACTGGACATATGCCTGTGCCACCCCTGGAGGCAATGAACGCCTGAGCAGACATCTTGCTGCCATTTTACCGAACAATATTGCAGTTTTAAGAATTGCAATTTTATTCATTTCAAGATACTCGTTTCCAGCTATGGTCAAGGAATTCGTTCTTCACAAGGTTTCACAAGGTTTCACAATTTTATTAAATTTAAACATAACAAATAAAATACAGTACCGACACGCAAAATAGCAAAGCTAATCGAGGCGTGTATATAGTTATACGAATCAAAATTATATGCTCATTATATTCATTATTAATGTAAGAATGTAAGGTGTTACATGAATAATAACTGATCTTAATAAAAGTATGCTTTTGGCATTGAATTATATACTAAATATCTAATATTTCGCATATATAACAACCACTTAAATAGCATAAAGTAAGAAGACTTCTTCCAGACAACGTCTATCCAAACACAATCTACCGGCTAATTTGCTCTTCATATCCATACTTCTGCAGAACTTCCTATTTTGGAAAAAATGTGTAATGAATGAATATTTGAAAGAAAATTCCCTGAAAGGCAAAACGAAATATAGACTATTCTAACTGTTTGGTACACTTAACAAATGCACATTTAACATCAATATGCAATCTCTTCATGCCGAAATAAATGTATACATGCATGTAGTATACACTAATAAGATTTCCGAATAATATTGTAGTAACTCGTGTAATCATGATTTAACAATTACCTGATAATACCAACTAAAATAATTGATAATTAATGCATTTGATAAATACCTCTTCTTGGCCTCCTGGCTAGTGTTAAGGACTTGTGGTTCGCTTGTTGTGTTTTCGTTGACTGTGTGAGAATACCCGTGAACAGTGTTGTAAACTTTAGTAAAAATGAAACAGCTCCTTGAATAATATCCTCATTTGCATATTTAAGTAACATCATATCTATCGCCGTCTCGTCTGTGCTCATCAGAAACTCGTTGTTTAAGTAATCTGAATCAAACGTTCTTTGGCCATTTTCAGTAAAAATCCCATAATGTTCATATACTTTGCACTTAGAACACTTCTTCGAAATACGACAACCAAGATAGGTCCCACGAGTAAGGTGATACACGACAATGGATTTCCAATTTTGGTCTATTTGTAGGGGTTTTCCACATCTCCTGCATTCCTTTCTTTGTGACATTAGCACTGCAGCCGCAGGTATACCAGTCTCCAGAGAAAAATCATGAAATGTTCTGAAAAGATCATTTGCTGTTCCAGTGGCAAAATTTGATATCTCAGGAAACAAATGAAAAAGATTATCTACAGACGCAGAGAATTCATCACATAATGTCTCGTCTTTTTCGAAATCTTCTCTAGGATCCGCAGATTCCCCACAAACAAACTTAAATGCAGTTTTCAAACCGCTCTTTGCATAATGTACCGGTGTACCAATTAGATTAAGTACATAAAGCAAACGGAACATTTTCAGAAGATTTTCAATAGAGAAATTCATTGAAGAACTTGTTTTTACAACAACCTAGACTGTATTTTGACTTTCACGCAAATAGCTCATCAACGCCTGACGACAATAACTATATAAAATAGCTATACACAGCTCAATAAATAAATCGCGTGGTTAATAATGAACATTTAATTCGGTTGCATGAGGTTTACGACGAGTGAATTAAGAATTGATCTTCATTGACAGTTGTTAATTGACAAATATGGGTAAGGAAATCACACCCATGGCCAGAAGTAATATTGTGACACGAAACGGTGCTTTAAAAATTTGAGTTGTTGTCTACCCTTATTGTGTAGATTAATTTATCTACACAGGGAGTTTATTATTCAACCAAGAGGATATAAACAAAATCTTGATAGTTTGCCTGGCTTCCTTTCATGCACATTTTTTCACACTGCGCATGACGGATTTCCCATGCGCGTAGTGATATGATGCATCATTGGTTTTTTACATGCATATAATAGAAGTCAGAAAGTTTCACTTTGTGCGAATCCGAGCGCGTTTGACTTAATTAATGTTAAAATAGACGTACAAGAAATTGTCCACCATTTTGGTAGTTCAGAAAAAACTTTCTAAATTTGCACAAAAACTAACATAAAGTTGTCAAACTTCTTGCGGGATTTTCATAGTTTATTATATTGGATATTTTAGACAAGCTCTAATCTATACATGCAGATACAATAGTGCAGGCATGCTAAAATCGATATCACATGGGCACACATATTTTTTTCAATAAAAATGAGCGATGCATGCTTCACTCAATATTACGCTCGTGCAATAACGGAGATTATATTTGAACATTTAAGGTGTCGTGCACGCATGTAAACAAGCACGCCAGATTTCACACCTTATAAAAATGTCAAATACTATACCAGCAACATATTTATATCTTTCATATAGCCCTAAATATTCATTTATATAAATACATATACTTCAAATTTGCGTAATAATAATTTTCTCTCGCACTTCACCCAAAGATTTAATTAATTTCAGGGCTCATAAATACAATATATTCATCCGCATTGAAGGAATCAAAACTCCAAAATCGCACTTAGATTGTATAGTGTTAGCCTATATTGCATAATTCAAATTTGCCAAGCTTCCTAAACCAGAAGTACCTCAGGATCGTTATAGCTTGTAGCATGAGATAATTTGATTCTTTATTCCGATGCAACAATTAACGAACCTAATGGCCAGTAAGCAAACATGTTATATTTATATTATTGAATTATTAGTAAACTGCTTGTCTTTCCATCGCAATTTGTTTGACATTTTTATGTTGTCAGTGGGAAACCACAGATCCACAGGCACTATTTCGCACGCACGAGTGGACCAGCATATAATTTTGCGCTAATTATTCTTTCAAACTTTTTATTTCGTGCGACACAATTTGCGCGATTTTGAAAAACGCATGAACTTTAATGTCACCTTGTTCAATAAAAATACATTTTAGCTGTTGCATGCCCGTGCCACATACGAACTGACCAATCTACGAAGATATTTACCTAGAGCGAACTACGAACCCGTTTGATACTATGAACCTGACGAATCTGACCATTCGAACGATTCTGGGACCAATGACGAATCGAACGATTTGTACGAATCGTACGAATCTACGAAGAGATTCACCTACATTAATACTATGAAACTCACGAACTTGACCATTTGAACGAATCTGAAAGCATTCACGAATCGAACGGTTCGTATGATTTGTACGAATCTACGAAGATATTCACCTAGAGTGAACTACGAACCCGTTTGATACTCTGACCATTCGAACGATTCTGGGACCAATGACGAATCGAACAGTTCGAACGATTCGTACGAATCGTACGAATCTACGAAGACATTCAGCTACATTGATACTATGAAACTGACGAACCTGACCATTCGAACGAATCTGAAAGCATTCACGAATCGAACGGTTCGTACGAATCGTACGAATCCACGAAGACATTCACTTAGAGCGAACTACGAACCCGTTTGATACTACGAACCTCACAAATCTGACCATTCGAACAAATCTGGGACTAATCACGAATCGAACGGTTCGTACGATTCGTACGAATTGTACGAACCTACGAAGACATTCACTTAGAGAGAACTACGAACCCATTTGTTGATACTACGAGCCTCATGAGCCTGACCATTCGAACGATTCTGAAAGCATTTACGAATCCTACGAATCGTACGAATCCACGAAGACATTCAGCTACATTGATACTATGAAACTCACGAACCTGACCATTCGAACGAATCTGAAAGCATTCACGAATCGAACGGTTTGTACGATTCGTACGAACCGTACGAAACTACGAAGATATTTACCTAGAGCGAAGTACGAATCCGTTTGATACTATGAGCCAGACGAATCTGACCATTCGAACGATTCTGGGACCAATGACGAATCGAACGGTTCGAACGATTCGTACGAATCGTACGAATCTACGAAGACATTCAGCTACATTGATACTATGAAACTGACGAACCCGACCATTCGAACGAATCTGAAAGCATTCACGAATCGAACGGTTCCTACGAATCGTACGAATCTACGAAGATATTCACCTAGAGCGAACTACGAACCCGTTTGATACTATGAACCTGACGAATCTGACCATTCGAACGATTCTGGGACCAATGACGAGTCGAACGGTTCGTACGAATCGTACGAATCCACGAAGACATTCAGCAACATTGATACTATGAAACTCACGAACTTGCCCATTCGAACGAATCTGAAAGCATTCACGAATCGAACGGTTCGTACGAATCGTACGAACCGTACGAATCTACGAAGATATTCACCTAGAGCGAAGTACGAATCCGTTTGATACTATGAACCAGACGAATCTGACCATTCGAACGATTCTGGGACCAATGACGAATCGAACGGTTCGAACGATTCGTACGAATCGTACGAATCTACGAAGACATTCAGCTACATTGATACTATGAAACTGACAAACCTGACCATTCGAACGAATCTGAAAGCATTCACGAATCGAACGGTTCCTACGAATCGTACGAATCCACGAAGACATTCAGCAACATTGATACTATGAAACTCACAAACTTGCCCATTCGAACAAATCTGAAAGCATTCATGAATCGAACGGTTCGTACGAACCGTACGAATCTACGAAGATATTCACCTAGAGCGAAGTACGAATCCGTTTGATACTATGAACCAGACGAATCTGACCATTCGAACGATTCTGGGACCAATGACGAATCGAACGGTTCGAACGATTCGTACGAATCGTACGAATCTACGAAGACATTCAGCTACATTGATACTATGAAACTGACGAACCTGACCATTCGAACGAATCTGAAAGCATTCACGAATCGAACGGTTCGTACGATTCGTACGAATCTACAAAGATATTCACCTCGAGCGAACTACGAACCCGTTTGATACTATGAACCTGACGAATCTGACCATTCGAACGATTCTGGGACCAATGACGAATCAAACGGTTCGAACGATTCGTACGAATCTACGAAGACATTCAGCTACATTGATACTATGAAACTGACGAACCTGACCATTCGAACGAATCTGAAAGCATTCACGAATCGAACGGTTCCTACGAATCGTACGAATCTACGAAGATATTCACCTAGAGCGAACTATGAACCCGTTTGATACTATGAACCTGACGAATCTGAGCATTCGAACGATTGTGGGACGAATGACGAATCGAACGGTTCGAACGATTCGTACGAATCGTACGAATCTACGAAGACATGCAGCTACATAGATACTATAAACCTGACAAACCTGACCATTCAAACGAATCTGGGACTAATCACGAATCGAACGGTTCGTACGATTCGTACGAATTGTACGAATCTACGAAGACATTCAGCTACATTGATACTATTAAACTGACGAACCTGACCATTCGAACGAATCTGAAAGCATTCACGAATCGAACGGTTCGTACGATTCGTACGAATCGTACGAATCTACGAAGACATTCACCTACATTGATACTATGAAACTCACAAACTTGACGATATTCACCTAGAGCAAACTACGAACCCGTTTGATACTATGAACCTGACGAATCTAACCATTCGAACGATTCTGGGACCAATGACGAATCGAACGGTTCGAACGATTCGTACGAATCGTACGAATCTACGAAGACATTCACCTACATTGATACTATGAAACTCACGAACTTGACCATTCGGAAGATATTCACCTAGAGCGAACTACGAACCCATTTGATACTATGAACGTGACGAATCTGACCATTCGAACGATTCTGGGACCAATGACGAATCGAACGGTTCGAACGATTCGTACGAATCTACGAAGACATTGTTCACCTACATTGATACTATGAAGCTTACGAAACTAACAATTCGAACGATTCTGAAAGCATTCACGAATCGAACGGTTCGAACGATTCGTACGAATCGTACGAATCTGCGAAGACATTCACTTACATTGATACTATGAACCTTTCGAATGTAGCCATTCGAACGATTCTGAATGCATTCACGAATCGAAAGGTTCGTACGAATTTACGAAGACATTCACTTTGAGCGAACTACGAACCCATTTGATACTATGAACTTCACGAATCTGACCATTCGAACAAATCTGGGACCAATCACGAATCGATTCTAAAGATTCATACGAATCTACGAAGACATTCACCTAGATTGATACTATATGACTTATAGTCTTAGACATATCCACAACAAGCCAAAGGACAAGTCATATCCTATCATATAACTATAAGACTCACGAATCTAACGAATCTAACGATCGCCCTTACGATTCACGATTCGAACAAGGTCGAGGGTATTGGACATAAATCCATTAAACAGTTAATGCGAGAAAGAGATTTTAATAAAGCAATGTTCAACAAATTTAATTCGGAATTACATTGGGAAAAGTTTAAAACAATTAGAAATAAAATTAATGCTGAAATTAAAAAACTTAAGGCTAACTATTATAATACAAAAATTTCTGAGTGTTTACTGAATAAGAACATTAAAAAGAGCTGGTCACTTATCAATAACTTGTTAGGAAAAGATTCAAAATCTACTATCATTAATGAAATAAGGAGTGATAATAATGTCTTCACCGACAAAGTTTCAATTGCAAACCAATTAAATGATTATTTCGTTAGCATCGGTCCTTCCCTAGCTATTGAGATAGAAAAAAATGAACGTAGCTTTCAGAGATCGGAAAATAGAGACTCTAATGATTGGCTTGATACAACTTTTCGTTTTTCTGTTATAAGTGATGAGCAAGTTCTTAACAATTTAAAACAATTGGTAGTATCGAAATCGACTGGAATTGACAAAATTCCAGCTAGGGTTCTCAAAATCTCAGCTGATATAATTGCCCCATCTCTAACAAAAATTTTTAATCTTTCATTACGTACTGGCATATTTGTTACTGATTGGAAATTAGCACGTGTACAGCCAATGTATAAATCTGATGACAGAAGTAAATGTGAGAACTATCGTCCAATTTCTATTCTTCCTGTTGTTAGTAAAATTTTCGAGAAGGAAATTTTTAAGCAACTTTATGACTATTTATCTGAAAATTCACTTCTTTCAAAATTTCAGTCTGGATTTAGACCCAAACACTCAACTTTATCTTTACTTATCCAAATGTGTGACAAATGGTTAGAAAGCATGGATGATGGCAAAATAACTGGCCTTATTTCAATGGACATTAAAAAAGCATTTGACTCTATTGATCATGAAATTTTAATGTCTAAAATGAAAAATCAGTTTGGTATTTATGATAATGAGTTAAATTGGTTTGGTTCTTATCTGACAAACCGTGAGCAAGTCTGTTGTGTTAATGATCATTTCTCTTCCCGTAAAACAATAAAGAGTGGAGTGCCCCAAGGATCAATTCTTGGTCCTTTGATGTTCCTATTATATATCAATGATTTGCCAAAATATTTAAAATATACTACGGCGGGTTTATACGCCGATGACAGATATATGCTTCATCTCATAACTATGATGAATTGGTAGATCTATTGAATTCTGATTTGAAAAATATTAGCAAATGGCTGTCGGACAACAAATTGCAACACCATGCTACTAAAACAAAATTAATGTTTATAGGCTCGCCATATAATATTCGGAACAAAATTGGCAATAAATTGGTGATTTTTAATAACAAACCATTGGTTCGTTTTCGGTCATTTAAGTGTTTGGGAGTTGAACTTGACGAACACCTAAGTTGGGAAACTCACATTAACTCAATCTGTCAAAAAGTTAGTGCAGGAATTGGAATATTAAAACGTACTAGATCATTTGTCCCAAATGAGATCTTGCACACCATCTACAAAGCATTAATTCAACCATATTTTGATTATTGCTCTCCCCTTTGGGATAATTGTGGGGCGTTACTAAAACAAAAATTGCAAAGATTCCAAAATAGAGCAGCAAGGGTTCTGACGGGAGCAAACTATGATACCAATTCCTCTGAACTCCTTGAATGGCTCAATTGGAAAAATCTCGATACCAGATTTAAATTCAACAAGGCGGTTATGGTATACAACATCCTTAGAAATGGCACAGCCCCGTGCCTTCGCGAAACATTTTCTGCACGAAGTGACCATAATGTTTATAATTTGAGAGGATATGATACTGACCTCTCAATTCCAAAACCTAAAAAAGAATTTCTAAAAAGGAGTTTTAAATATAGAGGAGCTAACTTATGGAATAGTCTGTCTTATGATGCCAAGAGTGCTCCTACGATTTATACTTTCAAGAGGTTAATCGAAATCGAAAACTAGTACTTATCTACTTAAATACGTCTTTAAGCAGTTATCAATAGTGTGTGCTGTTATATTGATCTAGTTTGTTATTCTTTTTTTTTCCTTTTGTATATAGTGTAATTGGTAAATAGTAATAGTTTCTTCTTGTAAATATATAGTGTAATATAGTCAGTAGTCTTGTTAATTTAGTATAATATAGTGTAGTAGACGCCCCCCATGAAAACCAGTCTGTAGCTGATGGGGCCAGCGTCTTAAAAGAAGTTTTAAATACAATAAATACAATACAAATAAAGGATTACAAAGGTCCCGTTCACTATATAGCCCACCATGAAGTTGTTCGACCTGATAAGAAGAGCATGCCAGTAAGAATCGTATTTAATTCTTCAGCAAGATACAAGGGACACTGTCTTAACGATTGTTGGATAAAAGGTCCTGACCTTTTGAACAACATGTTAGGAGTTATCCTCAGATTCAGAGAACAACCAGTCTCTGTAAGCAGAGATATATCAAAGATGTATCACAGAATTGGAATACCTGAAGAAGACCAGCATGTACATCGGTTTTTGTGGCGAGATATGGATACAACTAGACCACCAGACACTTACGTAAAAACTGTGTTAACCTTTGGTGACAAACCAGCACCGGCAATGGCACAAATTGCATTGAGAAAGACGGCAGACCAAGCAGAAAACGCTCATCCATATGCAGCCGAAGTGTTGAAAAAGAATACGTACATGGATGATATTTGTGATTCCGTACCCAATGTCGAATGTGCCCAGCAACTGACGAAAGATCTGGACGAAATCTTAGATAAAGGAGGCTTTAAAGTGAAAGAGTGGTTATCAAACGAAATTCTAGAGGAAAATCTACCGACTGAAGAAAGATCAAGTGTTAACTTTTTGGAAGGTGAATCCGAAGAAAAGGTTCTAGGTGTTGACTGGAACAATAGTAAGGACGCTTTCACGTTTAAATGTAAAGCTAATGAGCTATCTGTACCGTCACAAGAAAATTCAAGCAAATTGAAATTAATGAAGAGAAAGATCCTTAGTAAAGTGGCTCGTGTATTTGATCCAATTGGATTCGCAGCAGCGTTCCTGATCCGTGCAAAAACGGTTTACAACGACTCTGGCAGCAAGGATTAGATTGGGACGAAGAACTTTCATCTGAGGTTTCAAAGTGGTGGACTGAGTTTTTTGCAGAAATCGAGGACTTGAATAATGTCTCGTTCCCAAGAAGTTTAACACCACCGAACACTATTGGACTACTGACACTTTGTATTTTTGCGGACGCGTCTCGAGATGCATTTGGAGCATGTTCTTATTTACGCTGGGAAAAGTCAAGTGGTAATTATGAAAGTCAATTTATATCTGCTAAGTCGAGAGTTGCCCCTCTTAAAGAATTGACAATACCTCGTTTGGAGCTACAGGCAGCAGTTCTAGCTAGTCGATTGTACAAGACCATAATAGAAGAATGTTGTTTACAGTTCGAGAGAGTTATTTTCTTTACGGACAGTATGATAGTCCTTACATGGATTCGTAGTCAGTCAAGAGAATTCAAACCATTTGTGTCAAGCAGGGTTGCGGAAATTCAAACGAATTGTGATCCATCGACATGGAGACACATACCAAGTGAGCACAGTAGCCGATGATTTATCGAGAGGCATTCCAGCGAAAGATCTAGAACACCATTGGAAGAATGGCCCAAAGTTCCTGAACCAACCCAAAGAAGAATGGCCTGAACAACCAGCTATGCTAATCGATCGCGCGGAACTCGACAAAGAACGTCGAAATACCCAAGCAGCCTTTTCCTTAAGCACCGACCGACAGTAATTGACCCAACGAAATTTTCGAAGTGGAAGAGATTGGTGAGAGTGACGGCGTGGATCTTACGATACATGCGAAATCTACGATTAAAAACAAAACCCGAAGATAATGTCGACCCGTTAACAGCTGTTGAGTTAGAACAGGCTGAAGAGTTATGGATCAAGACAGCACAAAAAGAGTTACACAAACGTGTTAAGAACAAAGAGTTCAATATGCTTAGTCCATTCACAGATGACAAAGGAATCTTAAGAGTCGGCGGACGAGTGGATAAAGCTATTGTAACGTATGATTCGAAGCATCCAGTACTTCTTCCCAAGAACCACCACATTTCATACCTGATTACCAAAGATGTACATCAGATTACTCACACTGGGATAGCGTCGACAACGGCAAAAACAAGAAGAAAATTTTGGATTATCAGAGTGCAAAAATTGGCAAAGTTAATCAAGAAAAAGTGTATTTATTGTAAGAAGTCGCATCCAAAGATTGAATGCAAGTTATGGCTGAACTGCCGAAGATAAGATTGATGCCTCAAACACCTCCATTTTACCATACAGCTTGTGACTATTTCAGTCCATATAAAGTCAAAATCGGAAGAATTATTGAAGTTCATCCAGGTAAAGATGGAAAAGTTCGAAATGTAACAGTAAAAACACAAAATGGTAATTACCGAAGACCTATTACTAAGATCTCAGTTATACACCCCATGGACGGAGAATAGAATGAGAACAATGTCCTCATTGGGGTGGAGGATGTTTTGCTAATTTAAAAATAGATAAATAATTACGTCATTGAACAGACAAAGTCACGTGAAAGAAAGTAGCGGGAAATAAACACGTTGGTTTTAAGTTACTCGAGGTTTAACATTCAGAAATAGCTTTATATTTGGTATATTGCAAAGTGATATAGGCCAAAGAAGGAAGTTCATGTTGTTTCTTGTTATTAATGCACTTTATGAAGTAGATAATTCTTGTATTTATACTTTTAGATCGAATACTACTACTACTATTACTAACTACAAACTACTATTATTATACGATATTTGGAAATTATTTGTGGTTTTCTGATTCTGGCGAGCCAATCCAGATGATTTGCCCTGCCAATCCAGATGATTTTTACTTTTGGGGGGGGGGGTCACACACCCCTACACTCCCCTCAAGTTTCTTCCCTGACTCCAACTAAGCATTGTTAATGTAATGGTGTATCTTTAGTTGTACTTGTGTATACTCCAGATCATCCAAAAATCATTTAAGAGAGGATGTCCACAAAAATCAAACATAAAGCGGCCACGACTGAAAAATCGATTTTGCTCAAATTTTGCCCAGATATACCTTATTATATCGGAAAATGCACCATATATTTTTTTAGGTCAAATACTTTTTTAACTTTGAGAAAATGCCGTTTTAACACGACCACCCTAAATCGCCATTTTTTCTGGGAAAATATGCGCTGATTTTACAGATAAATTTCACGACGACAACCGTTTCTAATCGATCTAAAACCCTAAAAATCTTGTTTTCGGTTATTCAAAGGACTGTGTACATGACTTACAGGAAATCTGAGTTACTTTTAGGAATAGAAATAATCGTAGTTTTGGAGCACACTATCTTACTTCATTTACGATACCCTCTTAACAAAATCGATTTTCACCATGCGATAAAGCTCCAAATCGATCATGCTTCTACTAGTTGGCTCTTTAATAAACAAGCTTTCAATTGACGTAAATACTTCTTTTGGCAAATGAATACGCGATAAACGACAGCGCGTTGAAATCTTCCGTTTTTGACGTCTTGCAAGTCAAACGCTGTTAATTTATACACCGTCGAAGTAAACAATTTAATCAAGTATTCTAAGTATTTTACCTTTTGAGAAAAAACATATTCTTGAATGGGGACTTTTCGCTTTGCTAAGTTTAAAAGTGGTCCAGAAATCCCAGTATATTTGTAAAAAAATCATCAAACATCCAGTATTTTGAGACATTGTTGACGGTTGCATGATAACTTCAGATCATTATTCAACGTGATCTACGACCCGGCCGTTTGACTTTAGCGCTAACATATACAAATCGATGAGCTATTTAAGGATTATATTTGCTACTAAATTCCCCAAAAGAATTGGAACTACAACTGCTGTTTTCAGAGGTTTTGATCCATTTTGTCCATATTAATGTACCATTTTATTTATCGACTGATGTTTACAAATACGTAAGTTAATTATTAAGCAGCTGTTAGCGTGCGTGTACATGTGAAATGAACGTTTATAATGTTTATCCATATAAGGAGTTTTTATTTTTAGTTTACCAGCCCTTATATTTGAATAGTCGTTTCCTTTCAAGTTGTTTTCTTTTTTATACTCTGCAAAGTTGATTCCGAAATGTTAAGGTATTCGAAAAAACTATCGAACTTTTCCATGATATTTACAGAGAAACGTCACAGCTGTAAACCCCCCTCCCCCACCCCCAAAACGAACATATGACGTTTCTTGTGGAAAAATCGATATGTGAGGCTTCCCTAAAACTGCAAGGTTTACACTATTGAATTAAAATCCCACAGACCACAACGATTATACGTATTGATTGTTTCTTGACGATAGTAGACGCGTACGTGCATGTTGCGGAAGAGGTTATTTCGCTGGCCTCAGAGTGACAAAAGGTACTCTGGTTCTAGAGGTTTAAATTTTAAAATAATAAACCTCTGTTTGAAAGCGGCAATTAATTCATCGAGCCGCGCCAATCAGCTTGAATTAGGGTGGGCCGCCCATGCAGGGAGGCGGCAAAGGGAGCAATTTTCTCCGCGACCCCAGCTCAAGGAAGACAGGCAAATACAAATTTGCAAGGCGATAAAAAGTTTGTCGACGGAGGGGGGTAATTGTGGTTCACCGGGGCCCCAAGGGTATAATTGGCCCTGGGGCCCCATATTTCACTGAGCTGGTTTGGGCTGCGCCAGTATTTCTCCGACGGGGGGAGTCATCAGTGCTCTCTTTTGATCTTTGTCAATTGGCATTAAAACCGCAAGAACTACCGACAAGTGACCAGGGCCGGATTAACGTCGCGCGAGGCCCGTGGCAAATTTTAGCGCGAGGCCCCCAAACCTCCCCCTTTCTTCTTTTTATGAAAACCATTGAATTTAAAGACACACAAAAGTGTTAAATAATTTTTTTCAATATTTCAATTTATTTGCATCAATTATAAACGAGATAATGGCCTGCCTGGCGCAGTTGGTGGGTATAAACAGGATCATAATATAACAGCTCAACGCAACTAAAGATTATATGAACACGAGTATTGCATATTTTCCCGGGGCCGTGCTAGGGCGAACTGCCAAACCTAGGGGCCCTAAATGCGCGAGGTCCCTAAATTCGCGAGGCACCTAAAATGGGTGTATCCCAATAGAAAATGGCCGTGTTCTCGTAAAAATGGGCGTAGCACAGTAAAGCGCGAGGCCCACGGCATTTGCCGTATTTGACACGTGGTTAATCCGGCGTTAAACGAGCAACAAGCTTTCATTTTCTTTAAACGCGACGTATGGGGAGACAATAATAATTTGTGATGTCGCACTGGGCCAAAATACTCAATGCTGTATTTTTGGGTACTAGTACTTGTGAAATATAATAAGATCAATAGACATTAGTGTATCAAAATAAAGTAATTTTACTGATTATTTTAACTGTGCATCAAAGTAAACACACATTATTCTAAACTACAGTATTTGCTATATGGCTATAATTTGAGTTTGAGGTGGTAGAATATATAATAAAATAACAAATCCTTGTATGGATAAATGTTCATTTCACACGCACGCTATTAACAGCTGCTTAATAATTAACTTATATATTCGTAAACATTTATACTCGATAGTCGATATGTAAATACTAAATGGTACATTATATGGATCAATGCAAACTGGAACAAAACAACAATTGTCAATTGAAGTTCTAATTTTGGGAAATTTAGTAACAAATATAAAATCACTAAACAGCTCATCGATATGTATGTTTGCGCTATTAAAAATAGACAATATTGAACAATGATCTGAAGTTGTCATGCAACTGACAACAATATTATATTTCAAAATACCTGTATATGATGATATTTTACAAATATCTCGGGATTTTTGGACCAATTTTAAACTAAGCAAGGTAAAAAGTCTCCATTCAAGAATATATCTTCTTCTCAAAAGGTAAAATACTTAAAATACTTTATTAAATTGTTTACTTCGACGGTATGTAAATTAACAGAGTTTGACTTGCAAGACGTCAAAAACGGACGATTTCAACGCGCTGTCGTTTATCGCGTATTCATTTGCCAAAAGAAGTATTTACGTCAATTGAAAGCTTGTTTATTAAAGAGCCAACTAGTAGAAGCATGATCGATTTGGAGCTTTATCGCATGGTGAAAATCGTTTTGTTAAGAGGGTATCGTAAATGAAGTAAGATAGTGTGCTCCAAAACTACGATTATTTCTATTCCTAAAAGTAACTCAGATTTCCTGTAAGTTATGTACACAGTCCTTTGAATAACCGAAAACAAGATTTTTAGGGTTTTAGATCGATTAGAAACGGTTGTCGTCGTGAAATTTATCTGTAAAATCAGCGCATATTTTCCCAGAAAAAATGGCGATTTAGGGTGGTCGTGTTAAAACGGCATTTTCTCAAAGTTAAAAAAGTATTTGACCTAAAAAAATATATGGTGCATTTTCCGATATAATAAGGTATATCTGGGCAAAATTTGAGCAAAATCGATTTTTCAGTCGTGGCCGCGAAATGTCTCATATGTTCGATTTTTACTGACATTCACTCTTAACTTTATCTGCATGTGTTAATGGTTTGTCTACTGAAAGAATCTACTGTTTTTTGCATCTTCTACAGTTGTTGCCTGCAAGTGAATTTGAGCATTTTCAAGAATTGAACAGTGATGAAGCATTCCTGTCATTGGTCAATGAAAGTAGGAAGACCTGCACAGCTTTGGTATGTTAAAAGATAAAAGTGTAAAAAAAACCTAAAATATTTGAGAAAGAATTAATATGCTGGTGAAATTACAAGACAAGCGTAAATTATTTGTAAGACTTAACAAAATCGTTTGTATAAAATGCAATTACCAGGTAGTACATTGGGTCGGACAGTTCGAATCTGACAAGTACCCCTTACAAAACCAAATTATATGGGACATATATGGACCAACTATGGGATTGATTTGGTTCAACCTATGGGCCATATATGGAAGTGATATGGCTTTGGTATGGCCTGGTTGCCTTCATAGCATACCCATACCATGTTTTTTATATGGGTTTGATATACGTATTTGGTACAAACCCATACATATCCCATATGACTTACTATGGGAAATACATGGGTTCCTTATACCATTTCATAACAACTTTGCTATGGGAATGATAGGATTCTATATGGAAATAGTCTGGGAACATATATGGAATTCATATATGGTTCTCGATGTATAAACTATGGGAATGGTATGGGTGCAACAATTACCATATTATATTGGAAATGGTGTGGGCACTTGTTTTCATCCCATACCAAACCCATGTTAACATCTAACATCCAAATGGTAGATGTTAACACATGTGCGTTTGGTATGGGATGAAAATAAGTGGCCATGCATACCATTCCCAATGTACTTGCTACAACTCAACAAAATTGTACTGACTGGCATAATAGTTTTATTAACATGCAAAAAATCTTCAAAAACACAATAAACAAATAAATAACATAGTTAATAAATAAACAAATTACAAAATTGCTAACTAATTTACTATTTCTTAGTGAACTTGCAAAGTTTGTCTAACTAAATTACCATAGTATAACTATATACAAACATGCAATTATGTCAAGTACTAAATGCTTATTGATCTATAAAAATGTATTGGTATCTATAATGTCCTCAGTTCTCTCAACTTGTGGGCTTGACTACTCAAACTCTCCACACTCTTCATGTTTATTTTTTGTATCACCTGATTTGGTGTAGGGTCTTCTTTAGAAAATCTTGCAGAGCAATATGCCCACTGGTGTTGATACCAGAACATGCCAGATCCTTGTACAACTTCTATCATCAGAAAATATAAAATAAAACAAATTCCGAAAATAGACATCTTGTGTTCTTGATATTCAAGATAAAAACAAGAGTGTAAAGACAGAGTCGGTAATATTTCGTCTTTATTCCAAAGACATCGTCAGACCTATGAAATTACAATCACAGCTTACTTGTAATTAAATAGATCACAGCTTACTTGTAATTTCATAGGTCTCACGATGTCTTTGGAATAAAGCCGAAATATTACCGACTCTGTCTTTACACTCTTGTTTTTATCTTGAATATCAAGAACACAAGATGTCTATTTTCGGAATTTGTTTTATTTTATATTTTCTGAAGTTGTCTGCTTGTCGTGGTTATTACTTCTATCATCTACAGGACAAAATAATTCAAACGTCAAGATTTTGCCAGATTTGACAAAAATGATTATACTCAGGTGCATTAATGCCTGGCTCCAATTTCGTAAGGAGCGGGAAAATAGGAAAAATCTTTAAAAATTAATTTAAAATTAACAAAGTACACTATGACTCTCATTTTTGGGTGAGATGTTGGAAATCAACTGCCGATATTTTTTGACTATTTGGTTTCTATGGAAACTGGTCATGTGACAATATATAGGCGGTGATAATGGAAATTAACTTAATGTTTTAAAACACGGCTTGCGGGCACACTAAACATTCATGGATATGTACAAAAATATTATCACGGAACCTTTTACTCATATACTGCAATGTACTAATTAGAAACTTAACGATTATGCCACCGATATGAAAATGTTGCTGTGAATACAACAATGTCTCGGACAATGTCAATATAATTTGCACTAAAATGACCGTACCAGATTACAATGCTTACAAGTCTAATTGTAGGACCAAAGTTAGCCGTATTCTGGACAAAATCTACTTATTAACGATCCACATTAACATTGTCTTATGTGCCCGCAAGTCCAACGCGTTTTTTGCGTGATGAATTCGCGCACGCCATGATCATAATATAGGCCCCTGCCGTGAAGCAAAATATTATGAAATACAAATACTATACAATGACTAACAAACCGTTTGCAACTAGTAAGTAGTGCATTCAAATAATATGCGAGGAACAGAGAGAATAATATATACAGAATAATATATGTTCGTTTATATATTTAGCAGAATATTCGACACTTGTCTGAGTCTATATATGAAAGGATATTATATTTCAACAACAACATTTATTGCGCCCTTAAGAGTCTACACTTAAACATCACCACCCCCAAAAAGTTTGAACCACCCATATCCTGGGTACTTATTTGTATTTCAAATATTTTTCTGTGCATAGGAAACTAAAAAGGATATACAAATCGATGTTGAATAATTCAAACATAAAAACCCGCAATAGCGAGATTTATATATTATATTATATTATATATCAAAGTTCAAAGGTTGCCGCATATAATATATTATAGGAGGTGGATATTCGTCCGACATTTCCATACGTTAAAGTCGTTAAAAATAAAACAGCGTAAATTTAATTGAATTTCAAGCGAATCCTTCGTAGTGTAGTAGTTTAGGCAACCGTATTGTGTGCGCCAGGTTCTGGGATCGATTCCTGCTCGCGCCACTATTTTATTATTTTTTTTTATACTTTTTTTTTCTTCGTGATTTTCGCTTACGCCCCACGTATGAAACGTCGAATATGTTGTTGCTTCATTCTTAAGAAACAACGCAACCCTTTTAGTGGTTTAGTGTTAGCTTTTAAAGCGTTGTCGGATGAATAGCCATGAAGCAGGAAGATCCGGTGTCAGACGAATATCCACGGGGTATATTATATTATACAACGGCCAATTGCTGAAGAAAAACTAACAGTTTAGTCATCCATGCTGGTTGCTATAATCTAACATAATCCTAGAGCTCATATTTATGTTTTATATTTCAGTTTCATTCGAACGCCAAAATGCACTCAAATGGCAACATGCTAGATATGTTTAATCGCGTCCAACTCGCGCGGACAAATCAAGTCAAGCGTGGGCAGAGCAAAGCAAGAGCCAAGCATTAATCGGCCTGAGTATACTGACAGAAAAATTATACCCTATAAACTGCAGCCAAATTTCCATCAAGCACTCCAGCTGCAGGACTGTTTTTAACAATCTCTCCAGATGTTTAAATTAACAATAAGTTAAAACAATTTTTGCACCAAGTGCACCCAATTTATTATTTCACTCTGTCTAACAGAAGACAACTTTACTTTGTCAAATGCCAAATCGCTATGTTTTACTATATGTCTAATGACAGACAATTTTATTTGTTTAGTGGACAGTCTGGCACACTAATGGAATAAACATAATAAAATAACAAACTACTAAAAGTAGGGCACATTGCTTCTAAATATGCCAACACAGCAGCTTTTGCTATTAATTATTAACCTTTCAATGACCAACACTCATCTTGAAGAGTAAAATCATCTGATAATTAATTATCAAAGTACTGAAAGTGGAGAGTGTTAGGATGAATTGCATCTAACTGTGTTAACAACAAACATGCAAAATAGTCTGGTATTAGACAGGGCAAGATATTGAGCTTTGAAATAGAACAAATTAGTGTGAATTGGGTCTTAATGAGTTTACACATAACACAGGGGGACAGCAAGATAACCTATCAAAGTTGTCCGCTCTCTTTCACAAGTAAAATATTTGATCTGGTGTCAAGGCGGATTTGCAATCCTTGCACGAAGCTCCTTGCAGCTCGCTGCAAGTGCATGCATGAGCACTTTCATCTAATCACAATGCTGAACTGTTAATTTTAATTAGATGCAAGCACTTGCAGCGAGCTGCGAGGAGCTTCATGTGAGGACTGGAAAATCCGCCTTTAGACAAGGTAAAATAAAAAAGTACTGAAAGTTGAGCACATTCATCTTAACGAGTTAGCGTGAAATGTAAGTAGAGAGTCCCGTTAACTTGAACATACCATCACATAGTTAAATGTTTCATAGAAAAACATGGAGAATTTTCCTGGCATTACACTAAGGCTAACATATTTTAATTCATATTGACTGTTGCAATTACACCTCTCACAACGAAATTTTAATTTGAATACATCAATTTTAATTCAAATAAATCAATTTTAATTTGAATACAATAACATATGAATAAATATCAGAATCTTAGCTTAGGAAGGTTGCTGCTGATTTGAGCAAGTAGATAAATTTTAAACTATGAGCATATAGTACTATAGTCTATATGTATAGGTATGCTTAATGGCTGCCAATTAATCTGGCATATACAGTTGGCATATACAAATATATTAACCAATAAACATCGATAAGTGACATAAGTCTAACTCAAATATAAAACTCTTATAGCAGCATTTATTGAAGTATAAATGCCTGCTATAAATATATTTATATCTCCATTCTAATTCCATTATTGTCACGGCAAATTCAAATTTTATAAAACCCAGGGGCGGATCTAGGGGTCATCAAACCAGTCACACGACTAACGTAAAAATTGCAACTTAATTAAAATCTTAAATATTCGACCAATAGTCCAATTATTTTTTATCATGCAGCAGTAGCTTATAACAGTCCAGCATCTATTATCATGCAGCACTAGCAATCAACATTCCAATCGAACTGTAGTCCAGTGATCAAATTTCATACAGTGGCTGAGCTGACGAGCTTAGTCAAGTCAGTGAGCAGCTGACATATGCAAAGTCGATCAGTCAAAATCCAGTGTTCTGATTGGTCTAGATGCTTATTTCCATGGAAACAAGCGATTGTTTGCGAATTTGACTGATCTGTGGGGAGTTCTGACCGATCTACAAAAGTCAGGGGTGCCCCATTTGTCGGAATATCATTAATATTTGCCGCAGCACGCGCTCATTCGAAGTGTCATGTTAAACGAAAGATTCAATTTAAAGATTTCTACGGAAAATTTGGGAATGTCTGCTGCTCCTTGGCTTGTAGTATTTACGAAACGGTCAGTCCGCATTTGCGGTGAATCATTTAGCTGTCTTACAAGACTGTTGGGCTGATCGTGGGAGAAAAATTGACGCTATATCGGAGAGTTAGTTTCAGTTGAGCAGTTGCTAGGCGCAATGAGTAGCACAAACTACAGTTTGACTGTTTGAATAGAAGTACTGGCGCCGAGATCTTTATTCTGAAGAGTACAGTAAGGTAAATTTAATGTGATATGTCAATTTTATTTCGTTTTAGGCAGTATAACAATATTTGTAAGCGAACAAGATGCGTGCCAGGCAGATGTAAATACACGTATCTTGATTGAGATTTAGCTATGAATATTGATTTACACAACAAATTTGCATATCTAAAGCAGTATACATAGGGTATAAAGTCAGTTTTATAAATGAATGTTAATGTAAGACTTTTATAATATTGATATATGGTCTATTTGAGCAATATGACACTGTAGTGATTATTAGCCAAGTGGTCAATGACTCCACAAGGCTATTATAGGCAACATAAATTAGTGTAGTACCATCTGTAATTTGATAAAATGAAACATCTTGCACAATGATCACATTTCTGCAAGTACTTCTTTACTTTTCCGTAAGGAGGGAGTTATATAATTAATTGTGAGAGTCAGTGAGACTGAAAATTGCTATAATTGTCTCCCATTTCATGAGGTTAATTTTTGGTTGAAGCTGCTCTCAGAGCATTTCAAATGGAGTTCCTGAGGTTCAAAAATAAAACATTTTCTGGGGGCAAACCCCCCTAGACCCCTTGGGGGACAGAACCCCGGCCCCCTAAGCACCTCGCGCATTCACTGCTCGCGAAACTAGAGAAAATTTTGACTAACATATGAAAAATCCTGGATCCGCCCCTGGATTTAGAAACACATGCTCGAATTTCACGAATGAAGATTGGACTAGGTATTTCGATTATAATTTGCTTTATTATACACAAAATATAAACATATTCTCACCTGAACATTATACTAACATCCCTCATGTATTGCTAGTGAAAATCCAGTCGATTCTTATCAAAAATAGTTAAATTTTGAACAACCTATTCACAAAGTCGAAAATAAAAATTTGAAAAGGCTAAATTGCAGAATACCCGTCCACTGGTCATATTTCACTGCGTAGCCATATTTTCAGTACCTATGGCTACGTAGTCACACTCTATCAAATTACAATATCAAGGAAATATGTCATTCTATCAATGTCTCACTGTGTACCCGTGTAGCTGCATAGCCACTAAAAAATATATCTACCTTAGTAATTACGTCATTATATCAATGTCTCGTTCTTTCAAACATTCACTGCGTAGCCACGTAGCCACTAAAAAATATATCTACAATCAGTGACAAAAGGTTTTTGGACAGTGATATAATATAGACATATCTGCGCATTTCCAAATACTGTTCAGCTTAATAACACTATCCCTACCTCCCCCACCCTAAACAATGTTGGGTCGCTGGCAAGGAACATTTTGCGCAGGTATTTCCACACACAACATTGAACGGGGGGTGCAGGGGGTCGATTATGTTGTAAACGTACGCTGTTTAGCTATTTTGTCCAAAGTGTTTTGTCACTGATTGTACCTTAGCAATTACATAATTATATCAATGTCTCTTTCTTTCAAAGACTCACTGCGTAGCCTTGTAGCCACTAAAAAATATATCTACCTTAGCAATTACGTCATTACCCTTACGAAAATTTCCTATAGGAATTCCTATAGGAAATCAAAATTCCTATAGGAATTCCTATAGGAATTGAAAATTCCTATAGGAATTCCTATAGGAATTTTTATTTCCTATAGGAATTCCTATGGGCATTGAAAATTCCTATAGGAATTCCTATAGGAATTGAAAATGGTGGAAAAATTCCTATAGGAAAAAATATTCCTGTAGGAATTCCTATAGGATTGGAAAATGGCTATAGGAATTCCTATAGGAAATGAAAATTCCTATAGGATTTGAAAATGGTGAAAAAAAAATCCTATAGGAAATAAAAATTCCTATAGGAATTCTTATAGGATTGGAAAATGGTGGGAAAAATTCATAGCCTATACCACTATGGCCTGATACATGCATGGGTATAAGAACTTTACTTATATAAAAAATTATACAGATAAATATAATTTACGAAATAACTCCTTCCTACAGGAATTTCTATTTCTTATAGGAATTTTTTCACCATTATCATATCCTATAAGAATTCTTATAGGAATTTTAATTTCTTATACAACTACACTATTCCTATATCGTATTTCACTCATAGACATTTATTGCTGACGCAGCGAGCGAGCCTGAAGCGAGCGAGCAAGTCAGCAATTCTAATTCGTATTGGGCTCTGAAAGTAAGATTTTACTTCCGTTTCTCCGACCAGAATGCACAGCTGTTAACCGACCAGAATGCATCACTGTTAACCGACCAGAATGCTTTGCATGCATGATGCTATAAATACGGGGAATTTCATCAAATTTCATTAACGTCATGCATTAGTCGGTTTATATAAGCCGCTAACGATGAAGTTGTTTTGATGTATTTTGTATTCATTGTATGGTCTGTAATTTCTGGCTGGTCTTACGCTATATACTGTATACTGAATTTGCTTATTGCAAACAATTTATAACGCTTGGAAGCGATATTTCTGCGTTTGTGTTCTTCGCCTTATCTTGTTTTCTCTTTCTTATATCATTTAGCACTTAGCACTATATACTAAGTAAAGTCAACATTGTAATTGCACGGCAGCTGAAAGCGTTCATTTCAAGCGTTAAAAGCAAATCAATTTCATCTCGATTGTTGTTGACAGTTCGTCTGCTGACTTTTTGTTTGAATTGAATACGATTTGAATATAACGTAATTGACACGGAGACATGGCATCAACAGTTTGGCAACTGCCAACTATGACTATAGTCAGTATGGCATTTTGAAAGAACGATGCTTTGCATGCGTGCTATTTCATGGTTAACTCATTAAGTTGCAGACTGTTGCAACATTGGCACTCCCCAAGTTGCAAGGAAAATGGCGAATTTTAGTTACTGTCAACTGCTTTTACAAAAATACCCATATCTCAAGATCAATGTTATAAAAAACCTCGAAATTTTGCAGTGGGTTAAATGATAAATGATTAATCAATTCTATTTTAAATGAGCTCCCAAACTTAAATATATCATTAGATTTTTGGGTGAGAATTCTTGGTTTGTGTAAATTTAAGTCTCTGACATTTTGCTTCTTCATGACACCCAACATCTGAAGGGCAATAATTCAATAACCCAACATAAATGGAGAAATATTTTTTGATTCCTGGATTGGTACACATTTATTTTCAAATTAGTTTTCATCTTGTAGGGTATAAATTACAAAATAATGAAACGCTATAAAAATTTGCTTGGGCATAGCTCAGGCACACTCAGGACATCTAGTTTACAATGGAGAACTTGAACTTCAGAACTTGTTGTTCAAGTCCAAAAACTCTGTAACCCAAAAATACAGTGTTTGTACCTCTTTGAAGTTTTTAAATAGCTCAAATATGTTTGGAAAAACACGAAGTACAAAAATTACTAATTAAAATATAAACAAAGGATGAAAAAGGTGAGAAAATTTTAAAATATTTGAGGTGTTTTCAATTCTGACTTTGACAGCCGGCATTTTCAAACGCAGCATGCGGTGATAAAACAAAAGGCTTTTTATTTCGCTATCAAGAGCACTGAAAGTCGTCAAAAAGAGATAAACACTTTTGAATATTCATCAGGTAAGAATTTTAACTGAAATTCCTTTTGTTTCTGTTGACAAAACAACAGATTTGTGGCTAAAACGTCGTGCGCGCCAATGTAGGTTGCTGTAAAATGTCAGACAGGCGGTTTCTTTTGAAATCTGACTCTAGTTTGAAATCTGACTCTAGCTTGAAATAAGTCCTTTTCAAGGACCAATTTACGGACCAATTGTATAAAAATATAATATGTATTCTCAAATAAAATGAATAATCTAATATTTAGGCATTTTAGATTGCGATAAAAGAGTGAAATAAAGTATTTCATCTTTGGTTGTTTGTCAGACGAGAGTAAACACATTGGTGACACTTTGTTGCGCATGCAGTTTTCAAAAGATAAACTGCTAAAAATATAGCTTTTATTTCACCAAATAGCAAAGTATCTTGCAGATATTATTAAAAGAGCTCAAGCGAAGAAATTCCATGATAAATAAGTGAACAATGAGGTAAAAAAAGCGACTAAATTACAATTTTGGAAAGTACATAAATTTAATGGCTTCCCGCAAAAGAAGCCATTTCAGAGGAGAACGGCATTTTGTAAACTACTCTCTGACCTATTTTAAACTTTTCCTTCAGGTAATCGATGAGTACTTCTTAGAAAATGAGCGTACATTAGTTTTATGATGTGCTTTATTGATTTAAAAATTTTATGGGGATATATGAAGCAATAAAGTGTATTTTAGAAGCTTTTCAAATCCCTGTCATGAAGGTTCAGAATTCGCACACGCCAAGTAACGGCATAATTCAATACACTGATTTTAAACCACATTATCTCTGAAATGAGAGCTCGTTTCGAGACAAAGTTTATAGAAACGGATATAGTATTCATTGTAGAGTATTCTACTTAGTTTTAATGCAGTTTTACTCGAAATTTTTCTTGCCAAAAATGTATATACGCACATGACAAGTTGAACCTACTGTCTTCTGAAAGTACTTCGGCTATAATAACAACTTGAGCAAGACGACCAACAGTAGGGTCACAAAAACAGTCGAAATCATGCCATAAAATGCACGAAAATTTCTTCTAAAAACTTAGTTTTACACTAGATTGAACTTCCTTTAATGCTATATCGTATTTCATGAAAACATGCCAGGTATTTTCATTCAAAAACACGCTCAAAAATATCGTAACTACTCACTTGGATTTAGTGTTCATGTTTCTTGCGATTTCCCACTTCACTTTTCCGTTAGATTGAAAGAAATTGCTGTTTTTCTGGCTGAAAATTGCGCGACTTCATTTGGACAAGAACTTGACTTGAAACATATGCACACTCCCTTATGTTTTACAATATATTTTATATGTAAAACACTTTAAAAACCTCTTCTTTTTCATCCTTAAAACTTGCTGCAAAGTCCTATCTTGTGACACTTTGCGGTTGTCACAGGTTTTGTAAAAAAATAGAGTTTAAAATCGAAAATCTTCGCAACCTTTTGATCAATTTTCTCGCATGATGTATCGTTTGAAAGCCCGAATTTTGCACTTTATACTCGTGACCGTTGCCAGGCAACCTGATAAACACACGCTAGACAATCGTGCCCGGAAGTTGACGTGTCATCCAGGGCGCATGAGGGCGCAATGAGACTTACCCCATTCCCAATTCCAGGGTGCATGGGGGCGCAATGAGACTTAATGAGTTAATTAAATGTACTTTTGCCTGCTAAAAAGCATGGTACACTACACTGTATACACAATAATATGATGTTATGCATGCATGTGCATTGTTTAAGCATTGATCATGTTTTTGTTATGTTAGGCATGTGTCGAATCAGTGCCTTAATTTAAAAAAAAAACAATGTCCTCATGCAACTCTATAGTTATCGAAGTAACATGATGGCTTTAATTTGACGTTGTTGGATGCAAGTTTTGCTCCATGTTGTTCGGTATTCAGTTCTTAAAGACTTCCCATCAGTAAAAATTTAAAAGAAAGGCAATTTGGCGAAGATTGTATTCAAGTGAAGTAAAACATCAGCTACAAGCACTTTAATTTAGCCTGGTTCACATATGCCTGCGGTATTCCGGCGCTATCATTGTTCACAGCTGCATGTTGATGCTTATATTCTCAGTTTGTGAATTATTTGGTTGCACTGCTGTAACGACAATAACCCGCCCACGGTATACAGGGTGTCCCAAAAACTATTGAAATAACGTATTGTGAGAATTTGAATGCCCTAGGCTGAGTTTGACTAATGGTCGCGTGTCGCGGGTAAAAAGTCGCGGGTCGTAAAAAAGCTCCAAACCATGTATTTTATTGAGGCGCGGGTTGAATAAAGTGTGTAAAAATCACGTTATCATTTAGTAAACAACTATATAGGCATAGGCGTATTGGACGGGGGGCAGGGGGGGCAGCTGCCCCCCCCCCAAAAAGAATAAAAAGTCGGGCAAATGTTCAACAAAAGTCGGGCAAAAGTAGTCAAAACAAGAAAATCTCTCTTAATAATAACCCCAGTTTGTTGGGCAAATAAAGCCAGTTGGGCAATATTCGCTTCACAGTCGGGCAATATTTGGTTATTATAAAAATAAATGGGACAAATTCTGTCAATTTTCTGGGAAATGATGTCAATTTTTCGATGTTTGGGAAAATTTGTTTGATGTTCCGAAAAATTTAGGTATGTCCGGAAAATTTTTGGACCCCTAAAATGGTGCACTGAGCGGTTGCCAAAATAAATTGTTCCGGGAAAATTTTTTTCGGCATTTGTCGGGCACAATCCAAAAAAGTCGGGCAAATTTCTTTCTGCCCCCCTAATTTTTTCCTTCCTGTACGCCTATGTATATAGGATTGCTTCAATACGAAATATTGCCCAAGAGCCTTTTGTCATGATTTAATTGTTCTATATAAACGTCCCTAGGCTCTACTCTCTACAGAGTGAGTAAATAAACTGATACCTTCATGGCTAATTTGAATAACAAAGGTGTCAGGTTTTTTTACTCACCCTGTAGCACTAAAGCCTGGTTCACACGATGAAACTAGGGATCCAAGGATAGTGTGAAGTTTCAAATTTAAAAAGACACTGCAAAAACTATATAGGGTCGCCGACAACCTAGAAAAGCTTGATTGCTTACACTACGAAATAAACAGTTACCAAAGGCATTTCATCTCATTATTTATTGCTTTTAATGCGAAACAAGCCTAACACATCAGAAACGTGCCTTGTGAAACTGATGCAATTCATCTATTTATTGTGTCACCAACAACCAAATTTTGCATATTCTAAATTTCCATTTGCATTTGCAGCTGTCGCTGAAAGCATCCCCACGAGGCTACTGCTATGCTAAATTTATCTAATAAACTATAATTGAAATAGCTGTATAAGATATGTTATGAATAATAAGCACTACGTCGTTACATCATTAAAAGACACATTTTATCCTCATCCATTCCGTATTTTATCCGCATATCCGTTCCGTGGATCCGCTCCATGCGCTTCCGCATTTTAACTTAATTGTGACATGTTTCACAATAACAAGTTTCATTGACCTTTGACTTTTCCCAGTGTGACGTGTGTCTATTTTCAGCTTTTCGCATGTGTTGAATATAAATATCACTTTAGATTTCAATAGTTTCACAGTTATAGCAGTATTTAAAACATTTTTGACAAGCTTTGATACAGTTCTGTCTGTACAGAATACTACAGATTGATTCTCGTAAAATCTGGTAGAGTTATCGTTGCACTGAATACGAGTTTGCACCGTTGACAACGGCGTTGTGCTAGACACTAGACAGTAAACAAAGACAAGGGACAAGGTCCGTGAATGTACACATTGGTTACATGTACCTCCTTGCTTTTTTCTTCTATTGCATAAAGCTTGTTGGCGAGCCAATTAAGCGATTAGCGATAACACGTTGGCGATAACACCTAAACGCGTTGGCTATCTCCTCGTCTTTCTTATTTATACAAGGAGCTATTGTATAATAGGGTCGAATTACAATTCGGTGCGGTGTCTTCAATCTCCGATTAATTAAGCTTCTAAAAAAGTCAAAACTTAAAGAAATAAAGCAAATTTGGTGTCATAATATATCTAAGTATATTCTTCATCTGTCTATGGTAATTTCGCTGAAAAACACTGTTTGTCTCAATATATTTTGGATTTTTAGTATTGCGTCGACTTGGCATCATCTCGTGTCTATTGCTACGAACTGTGCCGATCTTCAAGTTTTTACCGAATTACTAGACTTCTACAAAGTTACGCCATCCAAGTTTTTCCCAGTGGTTTACATAAAATTTGCTCAATCACTCTCAAGTCGTGGTATTTTGTGGTATAATATTATTCTAAAAAATCAAGATTTTATTATTTTGTCCGTTGGTGTTGGATTTTAAATTTTTCGCGGCGTCTATATCGAGTTTCCCTGGCAACAAGAACATTTGTTTGTATCACGATATTAGCTGCTTTATTTTGATTTTCGTCGCTGGATCTGCGTGTCGGAGACTTTTCCTGTCATTTTGTTATATATTTTGTCTTATTCCGTGGGATTTTTCGCGAATTATAATACTTTGTTCTTTGTGTTCACTGCGTCTCGAAAGTTAAAGTGCGACATTTTGACCCCGATCAAGTTTCACAGTCTCAACACATCAAGTCATTGAATAAATCATCTCCAGATAAAATTACCTCATCACCTCCTGGTTTCATGGCGAAAACAGCTTTTCTTGCTCCAATTATTATATTAATTTTTGCATCGGTTTTACATCAAAATCTAAATGTCAATCCTGGCCTGTCCTACAATCTACCTGGTTTTGGACTGAACGTCCCATTCGCTCGCAGTGAAGCAATACCTGTTGGCCTTGAAGCATGTCTCGCAACTTTCTCCGCATCTAGATTTCGCGGGTCTACCATCCTGACTAAAAGCCATAATAACCAACTTAAACTCCTACTGTCTATACTCCTTTCATGTGGTGATATCCAAATTAATCCTGGCCCTATTACGAGGTACTCTTGTGAGATATGCAGAAAATCTATTAAGTCCAACGTTCAATCCATCCAATGCGAAAAGTGTTCAGCTTGGTACCACACTAACTGTTGCAATGTAAACACCCCAAATACCCTGTCCGACTCCTGCATATGGATTTGTAATAAATGCGACGTTCCTAATTTCTCTACATCTCTATTGAACAATCATCTCAAAACGCCATCATTACTCTCAAACTCGTTCAGCGCCCTTGATAATCAATCATCACCGCCAGCTACTCCCTCTAGAGATTCTAATACTGTATTCGCTTCAACCCCCAATCCAATACCTAAGTCTAAACGAGTTAAAGCTAAACGTCATCTAAAAGGAATGATCATCAATTGTAACGGTTTAAAAGGTACATCCCGTTTCACAGAATTTCAAGCTCTACTTGACCTACACAACCCTGATGTTGTTCTCGGAACTGAATCCAAGCTACACAATGATATACCCACTTACTCTGTGTTTCCATCCAACTACACTGTCTATAGAAAAGACAGAAATGCAAATGGTGGTGGTGTTTTTCACGCTGTTAAATCCGATATTGTATGCGAAGAATGTCCAAAATTCGATGCGAACTGTGAAATTCTTTGGTCCTCAGTAAAGTTCCAGAATTCCAAGAAATTATACCTAGCATCCTACTACAGACCTCCCAACTCCTCTTCCGAAGCCCTTGATGAGCTCCAGAAATCTATAAACTGTGTATTTGATTCGACTAATCATCATCCAAATATCATTCTAGGTGGTGATTTTAACCTTGGAGACATCAACTGGAAATCTGAGTCTCCAGAACTCTTAAGTGAAATCAATTCCTTACATCATAAGAAACTTCTCCAGACACTTGACGACTTCTCCCTTACACAACACGTCACGTTACCTACTCGTCCAGCTTCTAACAAAACCTTGGACTTGTTATTGTCTTCATTCCCTAATAATGTATCTAATGTTTCGACCACGTCAGGAATGAGCGACCATTTGGCCGTCCTTTTTAACATCGATGTCGCGGCTACTAGATCGTTCAAACCTCCACACAAAGATTTCATCTATAAGAAAGCTGATTTCACAAAGCTTAATGAATTTATGTCACATGCATCGGAAAACTTTTTCCTATCTAGTCTTCAACATAACTCTGTATCTGAAAACTGGTTAAAATTTAAATTAACCTTGATAAAAGGTATTCAAGATTATGTTCCTCACAAGAAATCTACGCCTAAGTATAAACTTCCATGGATAACCTCTGCTATCAAACGGCACATGCGGCTGAAAGATCGCCTACATAAAAAGGCTCTCAAATCTCACAAACCTAAACACTGGGATGAGTTCAAGAAAGAACGGAACTTAGTCTCTCGTCTCGTCAAACAATCTCACAGTAGTTATCTGAATGACGTTATTGGCGCAAGCTTACATACCAATCCAAAGAAATTCTGGTCGTATGTACGTACAAGTAAATCTGAAAGCTCTGGCATACCTCCTTTAAAATTCAACGACAAATTATGTGTTTCTGACAAATCAAAAGCTGACGCCCTTAACTCCCAGTTCCATTCAGTATTCACCCGTGAGAATGCTCCAATTCCAAATAAAGGCCAATCTCCATACACCTCCATCTCAAATTTGATCATCAACTCCCAAGGTGTAGCCAAGCAACTCTCTGAACTTAACCCCAGTAAGGCCTGTGGTCCTGATGAAATCCCAGCTAGAATCCTTAAAGAACTTTCTCCATCAATTTCGCACTGGCTTTGTTTCATTTTCCAACAATCCTATGATTCTGGTATACTTCCACCTGACTGGTCAAAGGCCCTTGTTTCTGCTGTTTTTAAAAAGGACTTAAAATCCAACCCAGCAAACTACCGTCCAATCTCTCTGACGTGTCTGTGTTGCAAAGTCATGGAACATATCATTCTTAGCCATGTTTCAAAGCACTTAGCATATCATGATATTCTAATTAACGAACAACACGGATTTCGCAAACTATTTTCGTGTGAGACTCAACTAATTACGGCAATCAACGATTGGGCAAAAAGTATCAACCAGAAGAAACAAACCGATGTGATTCTCTTAGACTTCAGTAAAGCCTTTGATTCTGTTCCTCATCTTCGTCTGATGTCCAAATTAGACCATTATGGTATTAGAGGACTTTCCGCCAATTGGATCAAGGCTTTTCTTTCCAACCGCTCTCAAGTTGTCTCGGTTAATGGCTACCACCCTCACCCTCAAACTGTCATATCTGGAGTACCTCAAGGAACAATTCTCGCACCTGTCTTATTTCTTCTCTATATAAACGATATTTCTGAGAATATTAAATCCCAAATTCGCTTGTTTGCTGACGATGGAATCATTTATAGAGAAATTAATAACGATCAGGACCACGTCACGTTACAAGAGGATTTAGACAATCTAAATAATTGGGCTAACAAGTGGCAACTAAATTTCAATTTCTCAAAATGCTACCACCTAGGAATTACAAATAAACGTGTCCCTGAAACATATAGCTATATGATGAATAATCAAATCATTAGCAGAGTATCTTCTACCAAATACCTGGGCATTACTATAAACCACGACTTGAACTGGAACAAACATTGTGACATCATATGTAGTAAGGCAAATAGCACTCTTGGCTTACTTAGAAGAATCCTTGGTGAATGTAGCGCTGCTGTTAAGTCAAGAGCGTATACTAGTCTTGTCCGTCCACAACTTGAGTATGCTTCTACAGTCTGGAACCCTTACACCAAGAGGAACATCAACAAGATCGAGATGGTTCAACGCAGAGCTGCTAGATTTGTCTTCAATGACTATTCCAAAGCTAGCCACGTCTCTCCAATGATCGACCATCTGGGTTGGGACAATCTCCAACAACGGCGACTGCTACACCAAGCCACTATGTTCTACAAGATCCATCAAGGCCTTGTTGGAATCAGTCTTCCTGATGACGTGTGTCCTTTGACTAGAGCATCCAGGCTGCCTAATATCTGTCCTTACCGCCAAATTCAGTCGTGTGTCAATGTATATAAGTTTTCATTTTATCCAAGAACAATCGTTACCTGGAATCACATCCCATTTAACAATCTTTGCCAATCAACCCCAAGTTTCAAAACACTTGCCATGCCTTCAATTAAGTCACTTAATGTAGTTAATTAGTATCGTTTTGAATCGTTTGTATTGTACTATATGTTCGTTTTGTAGTCTTAGAGTTGTTGTCGTTGTTGTTGTTGTCGTTTGTCGCTTTTGCCATTGTTGTTGTTAAGTAAGAGTTAATTACCGAGAAGCGAGGCATTTAGCCATATACAGCCCGAGGCGCGTAGCGCCGAGGGCTGTATATGGATAAATGCCGAGGTTCGAGGTAATTAACTCTTACTTATTACATGATTACATGACGCGGTTTTCTTTGTTATTCATAGACCTTTATTTTCCATAATGTCTTTCAAGTATATAAAAGCCCGGGGAGGGATTTGATATTCAGCAGGGAAGAGTGGGGCTGATGAATTGAATTGAATTACTAATTAGCTATTCTAGTGCAATATCTGTATATTGCGCTGAGCTCCAGTGCAATATATGTATATTGCACTCAGTTTGAGTGCAATATATCTATATTGCACTTGAATAATTATGTATTAAATACCTCATGAATAGTTTAATGAGGCATTTATCTAGATAAATACCTCATTAAACTATTCATGAGGTATTTAACTAGATATATACCTCATGAATAGTTTAATGAGGTATTTATCTAGATAAATACCTCACTAAAACTATATTCATGATGTACTTATCTGGGTAAGTACCTAATGAGAGGTTAGTCTCTTTCCCAACTCGATAAACGCTGTACCGTCTCCAGTCGGGAAAGAGACAACAGCCGTGTACCTCAGAACCCGTCAAAACTCTACCATTAGGTAAGAGTATGTATCATTCGGCGCACGAGGACTAGCTGGATCAACCATCAAACTTGCTTGTGCAGGGAATTTATACAGTAACATCTGCTCTTTCGCTTGTGGGACGTGAAATGATATACTGCGCATGCTTGACCACATTTTAAAGCGTATATAGTGCGCATACTCAGCCTTGTGTTACGTCCCACAAGCGTAAGAGCTGTTTTGTGAAAACCTTCTCAATCATGTAATAATAACATATAACAACATCATTCTATAATCACCGCCTAATATATGTGTCATACAGTGATTATGAAGACTAATTTCTTGTAAATAAATATAAATATTATCTAGTTTTTCAGTATATATAATTCCTCCTAGTGTAGTATAATACTGTTTTAGGAGTATTTCATTAAAGCATTAAAGCATTAAAGGCTTTCCATTTTTAGTAACTGGATTCACTCGGATTTGCTACCATGGTCTGGAACATGGAGTAAATCACGCACAGCATGTATTTCATTTGGTGGTGGTGCAATGTTACTTATTCGTCATCGCAGAAAGCTTAGAAACAATGCTTCCCTGTGATCAGCATGTAGTACAAAGCATAATTTCTTTACTGGCTGTTGGTTCTTTGATGTGCGGACTGTGCGCCATGATTGTTTATGGCAAGATCTCCTATGACGATACTTCAGACGTCTGTACGCAGATGGAAAAATCGAACGTTGTGAGCGTAGATATTGTGAACAGACCAAACTGTAAAACGGAAGGCAATGGTATGGATAAGACGAGAAGTGAGAATAGAGAATCGACCGTCACTACTGTTATATCGTGTATTGCCGGCTCCTGTGCTGTGATGAAGTTGTGGTTTATTTCAGGGATTTTGAAGGTTTGGGACGGCGACATGGATATGGAGTTGGTATTCATTGATGTATGCAATCATACTTCGTATGTTCGAGTTGGGAAATTCTGCCATGATGTTGTATCTCGTACACCGCCGCATCACGCTCAAACGAAAGTCTTTTTTGCTGTGGACTGTTCGTTTTAGCATTACTCAATTTTATATAATAATTTTATGTTGCAATGTTGCGGAAACATCTACAAGCAATATAAAAAGATAATTTTTAAGAAACGCTCATTAGAAGTTCTTCAATACGACTGTCCTTTATAAACTTTGCTACTGTATAACTGAAGCGTGACCCAACCTATCAACCATATTTAGTTTTTTAACGTAATCAGAAATAGTCTGATTTGTGGAAACAGTCATTTAACTATACAAATCCTTCTAACTACAGTCTTTTAAGAGTCTTTTAAGTTCTTTGTAATTTGTAATAGAACACTGGACTTAAACTTTTGTGGTTTGTGGAAACACCACGCGTACATTTATTATTGCATATTAATTATACATATTCTTGACTTATAATCGATTATTGCAATAATAAATATACGGTTATATGTTTCCACAAACCATGAAACTGAAAGTTCATAATACGCGTCTCTTCTAACTAAGATATTTTTATTATTTAGTTATTCTATTATTTATAAACCATATTTATTTAAATTGCAATTGCCCCCAAAACCAAAGCTGGCAAACGGCGGCTTGCAATTTAATTCGGATTCTGGATTGCGCTTCATATAGTAGAGCTTTAAGTGGATCCAAATTTAGAGACGACCATTGTCGGAACGGCGGATTTTGCTTCAAATTTTGGCGGATCGGCGAGTTTGTATATCCTTACTCCTCCCCCCCCCCCTCTCCATTATTTGTCAGAAAAAATTGTGTTTGTCGGAATAATGTTGCCCCCTAAAACATGGGACCCACGGCATCCCTGCCAGAGCATTAATCTCTTCATCTGATGCGAGTAGCGAATTCAATAATACTCCTCAATAATCCGAAAATGCTTGTGAAAAGTTGAAATCCAGCATAAAAATTGGGTCCATGAAGATTGCAGGAATAACGAAAAATGGCTTTCTATTTTTTGAGCTGAGGGGTTAAATTTTCTTTATAGAATTCTTCTTACGACTCAAGTTGAAACGATTCTTCGGAGACCACAATGAAAAGCAAGATTTTAAAATCGTAAACAATCGCATCGCTTTGTAGTCTAATTTTGCCATGAATTACCACATGGTGTACCACAAAGTATCCTGACCGAGTGGGTATTGGCATCGTGTTCATTAATTTAAAGATGCATTAAATTGGACGAAAATAAACAAGTTCGTTGAAGCTCAAACTGTGCACAACAAATTTTCTATCATTCATTTTTGTAAATGAATGGCATGGAAGTTTTGTTTTATTCAACTCTGCAAATTAAATTATAATAATTCTATATAGTAAATTTCCAATTATTAAAGTAATATTCTAAATCTAGATAAAAATATTATGTCGCGTCCTTTGGACTTTGGACAGATTCAGTTCCATATCCGTTCTATATCCGATAGGACCATATCACCAATGGCGTGCGTTTTCGTCGTCGACGAATGTAAATTAGGACTTTGAAACCATCTTTGGTCCAGGGGCGGATCTAGGGGTGATCAGAGCGATCATGCGACTAAGGTAAAAATTGGCCAGAAAATTGTTAAATTAAAATAGCAGTCCAGTTATCTAATTTCGCGCAGTGTATTTATCGAAAGTTTAACAGTCCAGTTCTAAGATATCATCCATGCAGTAGCAACGCCTTCGAACATGAACGCGCAGAAAAGCGGTCTTACGCATGAGTTTTGCACGCTCTGAGTCAGATTCCAGCCACCTGATTGGCTATCTCGATTTTTGCGCGATCTGTGGGGAGTTCTGATCGCTAAAGCGATCAGGGGCTCGAATAAAAGCTATCCGATTGGCTAATTCAAAAAAATCCTGAATTCCCGTTGGCTGGATTTTTTTGATCGATCATACCGTTCAGGCTAATAGTATGCACGGAAAGGTCTATGTATTTATGTAAATTGCTGAAATATTATGTAAATTTCGTCTCTTATTATTATACGCGTACGGCGTACCCGCCGATTTTATTGCATATGCGTTTTATGGCAATCGGAAAATTTATCAGAAGTTCTAAACACGAAACCGCAAAGGCTGCTTTAGAGAAAGACGATCGACAATATCTTAATTAACAATATCTTAAAGATATGTAACCGAAGCGTTCTATTGAAGACTTATTGAGCGCTGTGAACATAACAAGCTTCTTCCTCGCACCGCGAAATTTTGGTGCGGAATCTTACATCCCGAAGTACGTTCGAGAGAAAACAAAAAAGTTTTGTACGGCTTTAAGGTAAATATATTCTATTTTAACTAGATATATCATTATAGCTGTTGTAGGCTGTAGTGGATTGCGCGTCTGGACGTAATAAGAGACGAAATTTACATACTATATTTCAGTCAATTTACATAATACTGCGGCTTAATACAAGCAGTTTCAGTTTGTTTATAATTTGTCTATGCCTCTTGTGGAATGTGGGCTTTATATATTGATCAGATACTCAATAATACTGTATTATTTATACCTAGTTGTCTAGTATATTAAAACTACAAGCACATGACAATGTGGCATGGCTTTGTGTAATACGATCTCTACATTATGTATACAACAAGTAATGAAGTAAAATGGATCATGTTGCCATTGTGAATATTCATGGCATTTGTTTCTGCTATGAATATTAAAACTCGGAAAGCAGTGAATTAAACGCGGAAATTTTCTTCCTGCGAATTAACAATCTTTTGACCATTCATGTAAATTAAGGACAAAATATGGAGTTATGTGTTTCCTAGGCATGCTGACGAGCCCTGACATTGGGCGAAACAGTAATTTTTTACGTAACATTTTTCGTAAAACAGGATACAAATTAATTCGCTTTGCGACCCCCCCCCCCGGTAAAAGAACCCCTCCCTCGATGTTCAGCAACGAAATTTTTGACTAACGTACGAAAAATCCTAGATCCGCCCCTGCTTTGGTCGGACCTAAACATGATAACAGAATAACAGCAATAGGTAAATTTAATAGCAATTTTTTAACTCTATCTACAGGAAATATTTAATAAAACCTAGAACACAATGAAGGCCATGAGCCAGAAAATACTTGTTTGCATGCCTATATCGAGACCTCTTCGAATTCTATTTCAATATTAAGGTTTGCTCTCATAGTTATTCCATTTTCTATGATTTGAAAATGAATGACCATCATGCTTTCACGGTGCGAGGACTTCAGATACATAAAATTAGCTGGGAAGAAAATGGAGGTTTTAGCATTAAACTTAACTCCGAAAACATGTTTTCCGAAAATATTCTGCCTTGATCGGATAAAATAAAAATAACAATTTTGACCCAGGTTTTTATGACAAGTACATGCACATGGAATTAAGCTAATGTCGAACAAAAAGTGAAACAGGTCATAACTGCCTGCACACATTTTTCTTACCTTCAATGCAAACCATGGGCATGATATTGTCGTTCCCTCTTCCAATTTGTTCAGAAAAAGGCATCATTTCCTTCCCATATTTCTTTCGATAACGTGTTGGTTTACGCTTTCCTTTTTGGAATCGTACAGCTGTTTAAAACAAAATATGCACAAGTTATTTGAACCTGCAGGTTAGGAGATATAGAATACTTAAAAGATGCTTATAGATATAGTCTGGTGTGAATTCCAGTTAGAGAGGAGAAAACCCACCGGGCACGACGTTGTTTCAACGTTGAAATTTGGTAGAAAAAAGGTTGCGACGTCGACAACCTAATATCTACGTTGCTCTGACGTTGTTTTACAAACATTGGTTCAACAGCCGCCAACAGACGTTGAATTAACGTTTATTCATGGTTAAATGTACGACGTCGATTTGTGAACCAATCTCAACGTTGTTTTAACGTGGATTCAACTTTGAATTATGGTTGACGAGATTGGCAACCTAATTTCAACGTTGTTTCAACGTCGAAACAGTAACGTCAAATATGTATGCAAATTGTGCATAGTCAACCCTTTTTCAACGTCTATCTAACGTCTGGAAGGTCATTTCCAACGTTGATTCAACGTTGGATAAACGTCATTTTGCTCGCTGGGAAGCGATGAATGATAGCAGCAACCAAGCAATTTTTCGAACCCAATAGTCAATACACTTTTGTATCAAATACAGTCCTATTATCTTTTAAATGCACATACAAATAGGTTTCCAATGAGAGACGTTAGAGGACGAAACGTATAGTTCAAGCTGCAAAATATTTGTAGTTTTGCTTAAAATTTAACTGAATGCATGTGCGAAGAATTCTATCTTTAATCTTAAAAATTTAAATAAATTAGACGAGATGGGAATGTGGAATAAATTAAAAATAATAGCAACAGTTTATATAGAAAGAACTCGTCAAGTGTAAAACAAGTCATTTTACAATTTTTCTTCATCTCTTCTTACTCTTGAGATCCCTTAGTTTGTCGAGTATGCAATGAAATACAATGTAGACGTCACAATCGGGTAAAATACGTTTCAAAGACGCCAAGTCGCTAATCTCATAGTGCTCACTATTCAAAATAGCTGAATTCGTTCAAAACTATGTCGATGATTCTTTGATACAAAATTACGAACTTTTAGTCATCTTTTACATTTCAAGTAAACTGAAATATCTTCTACAACCAAAGAAAAGTTATAAAAATGTTATGAACGAAATTCTTTCAATCTAAACATATTCAAAGCTCATTGCCAAAACTTATTTTTAACGATATGTAAATCAACGTGCATGATAGTACATGTCCTTAAAAGTTGAAAACACCGTACATACGGACGCCTATAATCTACTTAGGTGTATTTAATTCAGTTAAATCATGGCCATAAACTTCAACTATCTGCTTTAAGGAGCATTCTTCAGTTAATTCACCGATTTTATCTACCTGTTGGTGGTGATAACGACGAGATGGTAATTTATACATTACTAATTATCATCAAGACAAATTTGGCTAACGTTACTACGTTATATCGTAGCAACCCAAATCCCAGTTCACAACTTTAGCTAACTTACATGTCTATAATATATAGTTGCCATTGTTCTAGTCAACAGCATGGCGCGAGTGATAGAACAATGGCAACTAAACATTAGAATTATGTATAAGAGTTATTCATGTAGATAATTATATGTCAATGCTAAAGCTTACTTACCTTCGTTCTATTCTACGCTTCTGTAAACTAGAAGAATGGTAACTAGGCATGCGAGGTATCTAAAGTTATGAATTGGGTATAAACGTTAGCCAAATTTTGTCTATTGCAGGATATAATTGCAACTTACAAATTCTTGAATTACGTGGTTTAGAATTCTTTATGACAATGTCCGTTGCTCCACTAGGGATGGTGACAAGTCTTTGGAAACGTTTGCGCAAAATCTGACTGAATGCCCCAGTAACAAGTCTTCCTACAAATATTAGAATAAGGTTAGGCATTAGACATTTATTTAAATTAGAAACACAGTTTGGAATAGTTAGAGAATACAGTAACATTACAATTTTAGCCTTATGACACCGAGCCTATCTCAATACAATATATTCGATATATTTATATTGTATGTTGATATCGAGAAAGAAAAAAATTCATTCAAAAATTTAGAACAATGTTTGCCACGAACCGTAAATCCCACACACCAGTAGTCAGGGACATAGCGAAGTTTGGGGGCAGGGGGGGGGGGGTTAGGGATCCAATTACCTTACATTTCAACTAACATTACCTAAAAGCAGTGTTCGAAATCTAGTATAGTGTTTCGACGAGTACATTCTAGGCAGATCTTTCGAAAGCACATATTAGCACAGTGGAATACGACGCTAAATCTACTAGGGGGTTCCGGGAAGTGCTAGCCCAGACACAATTGAATATTTAGACCCTAGAATGCCCGATAATGCAACGAAAATTTTGAATTCTGGCCTTTCGTTCACTTTTAAGTTTCACGTTGGTCTGTCAATGTTATTCTCTTATAATTTACATGGAAATCAAGCTCAACCTCGGATAACTCATGAGCAAGTGTTTGGAGTTGTTAACGCCCCCGCCCATGCTCTGATTGCTCACGCCCTGCCAGTAATATTACTTTAGTTTCTAAACAATAAAATTTATTAAATGAATCTTACTTGTGGGAGTAGGTGAAGAAGTTGGTCTGATAGTTTCTGGTTGCGTAGAAGTTAGTTTTGCGTAGAAGTTGGTTTTGTCGTCGCTGGTTTTGTCGTAGCTGCTTTTGTCGTAGCAACTCCGGGCTGTGTCGTCCTATTTCCGATAACTACCGATGTTGTTACGGGTGACGTCATGGGTGGTTGTGTTCCAACAACGTAGTCCGGCATGTCGTAGCATGTGCCGCTGACACATGCACCGCTATCGTAATCACAATGGGTACCATCATCAACATGACCAACGAGCAGAAAGTGAGTATCACTAATACGACAGTGCAGCTGACAATCTCCTGAAAACGAACAAGAAATTTTAAATCGGTTGCTTGACGTGCATGTTTATATTATCGGGCATATATAATAATAATAATAAAATTAATAATAGGGCTTTCAAAACACAAACGAACGTAACATGTGCGTTTCAGGATTTTACTTTTCAAGATCATTTTTTCAGGTTCAATTCCTGGCAAAGGGGCTATAGTTGTATTTTTCGCAGCTATTCCTTAGTTAGGTGAGAATATAGAAGAATTTGCACTCAAAATTTCCAGCTTCCCAAACCCTTCAACAATGTACGACTCATAGATTCTGACAATGCAACATTTGGAACAACAGAGAGCGAGAGTGCGCGACGCGGCGACTTAACCACGCGGGTTTGAAATATAGAAATTGATTATGCAGAACAACAAGAATCAATATGCGTTGTCCCAAGGTTATCATTAGCACTGTCATTCTCAACACAACCAAAGACAACGCAAAAGCTTGTTGTGAGCGTTGAAGTCGAACTAAGTTTTGCACGAGCTTCAAGAATTTATCACAGTAATCAAATTGGTCATTCCTGGGACAAAATTGAACCGTTGAGTTTGCCGCGTCAGATTTTGCACTCACAAATAAATTAGGCAGAACGGACATCGATTGCTCGAACAATTTCAAGATTAGCCATTATCTTAAGTAGAAAATAAAACCTACTTGTTCCTTGGAAATTGTGAGCATCAGCCCTTTCTCCACGAGCTGCACATTGTAAATCACGGTGGCTCAAGTCTCCTGAACATACCTATATAGAAATACACGGTTTAAAAGGAATATTTAATTTTTTTCTTGTTTACTTATGAACGTTTTTCTATCCAGCCCCAATCTTCAAAGCCCATTGTGTTAAACTGTCGACAGGCAGCCGTATTAGTGACTCTGGACGAAGAGTTTTCGCTTGAAACGTCGAAATTCTCCTTATATTTTTCAGGTAGTTGCATCTCTACCAACGAAGCGTGTTACCTACACTGGCACAGACAGTTCACGCCCGACCTATATTACTTAGCATTTGTGGTTGCGAATTTTGTATCATCATAAATTCAAAATCATATGCATGATATCCTCCCCATTCCTATACCAAGGGACTGTCCATATGGAGCCGGGCTGGCGTTCGTGAAACGAAGCTCTTATAATGGTTCTGATAAACATTCGAAATGTCAGTTGAATTAGCGTGATTTGATTCCAGGAACAGTGTAAAGTTCATTTCAACTATCTTTCATGGTCAAGGAAAAACGCGAAACGGTTCATCCCGGCTCATATGATCAATCCCTAAGAACGAAGTGTTGATTAAGTACAATAATAGCATAGTTGCCCCGGGTTCTTTTGTTTCAACAGGGACGTTTAATCACGTATCGCCCGCTGTAGCGGGCGATTAGTTCTAATCGCCCGCTAGAGCGGGCGATTAGAACTAATCGCCCGTTACCAAGGGTCACACCTTTGTCTCCCTGACGACTACGCATTAGGCAAGTGCCTCACGCACATAATCGTGCAAGGAACAGCAACAGTTAGCTCAGAGCCGTCAATAGTCTATCATCCGATCCCTGAGTTGCCGCATCATTTAAATTACGCACGTGCAGTCTCCAAATTTATACTAATATATTTAGCGTGTTTGTTGTGGTACGTTAAATGATAGATTGCGCATGCGTAACCGATTAAAGCGTAAAAAGTGCGCATGTGCAACAAGCTTTTACATCCCACAAGCAATGAAGCAAATGTTTTAGCTTAAATACGCTGATTCCAAGTAGGGCATGTTTGTCCATTTTTAAATCGGAGCGAAACTATGCTATTACAAACTAATAGCATGGCTTTTCGGGAGATTAGTGATTAAATGACCCCTTACCCTCGGCAGGTTTGCGGAATTCCCTCGGGCTTCGCCCTCGGGAATTCCGCAAACCTGCCTCGAGTTACGGGGCCATTTAATCACTAATCTCCCTCAAGCCATGCTATTACTTATAAGTATAGTTAGCAACTCATCTGCAGTTTGAAACTTTTTTTTTTATTTTGGGGAGGGGGTATTTAAACCAGATTTAAATCTTTACTTTTGCCCCAAGAGCTTAGAGATCATTGAATTTGGGGGCTCACGTAAACTTGAGAATTACAATAAAACACACACAACACGACAAATTAGACCAAATCGCTGAATTACTCATTTTGTATAATCTTCAAGATCTTAATTAGAACGTCCTGATTCTTTAATAAATAACCTTAATGTAGCATAAATTGCAGCATTAGCATTAAATCGTTCATTAAGGCATCCACTTGTCGAGATAAACTAAGCAACAGCCAGTCGTATGATGACAAGTGCTTCAAACTTATTTGCAAATATGCGTCCTAATTCTTTAATGGACCAAGACGATCGAGTATCGCACATTACAGATTAGACTTAGGGTCAAGCATCGCTTTCACGACGTTTGCAGGATTATATTAAACTCACATGAGTGTTGCACCATTCTTGTACAAGTTCCTTGGTCTCTCCTTCACAATCTTTTCCATTCATCGAGGGTTTTGGGTTCGTACAAGATTTTGTTAAGAATGTAACTCCACCACCACAACTGCGCATGCATGGTCCTGGACCCATCCAATCTGAGAGGCCACCATCTATACCTAGGGGTTAGAAATTGGGACGAGTTTTTAGTAGGATTTTTAAAAAGGCAGCCAAATAAAAGCTATATAGCCTGCATGAAATAGGACCTGAAAAAAATTCTAAACTAATATTGGTCTGTAAGAATGTGCCTTAACTCAAATTTCTGAGAAAAAGAAGAAATAGCTGGATTCAGACATTTCAGAAATAGCTGGATTCAAACTTGAACGGTTTCAACTGTATGTAAAAGATTGTCAGGTAAGATTATTTTTTGAAAAAAATTCTGTCCAAATATTGACAATATTGTCTTCAAGAAACGTCGACACAGCATTAACGTCGTAACAGAGTAGGAAATCCAAGGGCTTTTGATAATTCAAAAAGTTGTAAAAGGAAAGTTGAAACCAGCCCATAAATTGGTTCTCTCAAATTCATCTTGAATCTGATACAACGAATGTATGGGTTATTACAACCTGTATTACAGTGTAATAGACCTTCTTATTTCTTAATATTTATATGAATAAATTATTTTGGCGATACTTACCATAGCAGTTATCCTGAAACGTATCCAGTATGTAAGCTGGCCGTTTTACATATCGATCATAGTGTCCAATCACATTGCCATGTTGCTTGTATCTTGCCACAACATAAACTTTAAATCGTTCACTTGTTCGAGCATATCCAACACCAAGTAATGTTGAAGTTTCCCACACCAGCTAAAAGCACAAAAATTAACGAAAAGTTTTGTTAACTTGCCTGTATAAAGAAATAAATCCGGTACCAAGGTCTAGGTTTATGAGCTTTTAAAACATCAGCTATAAGTTAACCTTTTAAATATTCGTTGCTCTGTAGTAAGCTGGCCCATTTTATATCTTATACAGCCTTAAATAATGCTTAATTTAAACATTTTTCTTTGAGTTGTGTATTTGTTCATTCACTAATAGAAGTTATCCTAAATTCCCATGTGCAGAAGAGCTTGTGTTTTCACGTATTCATTAATTCGAGAAATTATACGGCTATCAAATTACTGCAATAGATTACGGTTAATGTCCTCACCGTTTAATAAATATATATATATTGAGATATTTAATATAACGACACGCATAAGAACACAAGGTTTGTGGGGTTATGGAAGTGTGGGACAACTGCTCTATATATTGTATTTTTTATCTGCGAAGAGCTGGGTGCTGAGCGGTTCCCAGGGCATATACTCGTATTGAAAAGCTGGATCTTGGGGAAAGTCGATTAGGACATATGCTGATTTGCAGCTGGGTCCTAATCTGCCCAAGACATATACTTTTACGGATTTAGAGCTGGGTCCTGAGTCGGCTAGAACATATACTCCATTTAGAGCTGGATCCTAGCCTGCCCTGCAAGACATATACTCTGAGCTGGGCCCTGGGAAAAAATGATCAGGGAAATATTTCTTAGAACACTTATCTGGCTCAGCACATATACTCATATGCAGAAATAGAGTGATTTTTGTAAATGGGAATTGGCTGTATGCCAGGTTGCCAAATTCCGTAAAGAAAACGTGAGGGCTATGGTAAAATTGCGACCTCATACTAGAGCAATTGCCTCCACAATCACACAACGATAGTGTGTGTGATCCCCATAGACCGACAAACAACGATCGAGTGTTTATTTCACTCTGCAATCAATCGTTTTGAAACGTCTGTAAGGACATTGATTGGCGTGCGAATATACCTGAGGTAATAATCGGAAGACCATCTTCCTAGCGTTTGAATAAGCCAATGAGGCAAACCTTGGGACGCAGCTGTGGTAGCCGCTCCGATTCTAAAGCTGTGGCCTGCATAGTGAGCAGGGTGATGACCACCTTGGGCCAAAAGTGTTCGTAGTTCCTTAGTAAATTGACTACGTGATAAAGGAACACCGTTTGAGTAGCAAAACAATGGTCCCGCATAGTCCGTTGGCGCACGTGAAAGGTAGGTTTGAAGGGCCCTTACTGGACAATATATACCAGAATTGCTGCCAATGGTTATTGTGGCTGAGGCTCGAAACGGATCGGTTTTTGACGCTTTAATTCGTAGTTGCAGAAAAACCTCGTTATCCCCACGTTTTTTGTTATGAAAACTTACATCTGATCGGCAAAGATTTGTTGAAGAATTATAAGGACCGGAGCAAGTCATTTCACCAATCCGCAAAAAACGAAAAATGCTATGGAAATCGCTGCCCAAATCATGGTTTCATCATGTGTTGGCGATGTCCGTGAGTGTAATATGCGGTGAAACAATTTCAAATGGTCTAATGTAATTGGTAGGCGTGTTCTTGTAGACACTCCTTTTACTCGCTTTATACCTCGCAAAATATAGTGTAGGCGTTGAAATTTGGTGATTTGAAGGTCGTAGCCGTTAACCAAATGCATATGGCGTACTGCTGCGAGATAGACTTTGATGGTGTCTGGATTTACCGTCTTAGCGAGAAAAACAGCAAAGTAAATCAGAATGTTTTCCGTTGTTGGCAGAAGAGGCACATACTTATGTAAATGAATTGATAGTAGAAATTCGTGAACTGTTTTTCGCCACTGCTATAAGTTTTAATCGTACCTTTAGCTAACGAAGCAAGTTGATAACGACGTAAGTCAGCGTCTAGAGACGAGAAAGTTCCTCTGGTAGAGGTTGAGGTTGATGGTCTGCATGCGGTGCTAGCCGCCGAAATCTGGTTTGCTGAAAACGGGAGATAGAATCAGCAATGTCATTATAATGACCAGGCACATGTAAGGCTTTGAAATAAAAGTTATATTTCAGTGTTTGTAAGGTTAAAGGACGCACTAAGTCCATAATACGAGGGCTTTTTGAACGTTTGGAATTGATTATGGAAACCACTGCCTGGTTATCGCAGTAAAACACAATTCGTTTTTGAGCCCATAAAGGTGCCCATATGTAGGAGGCTACCACAATAGCATAGAGCTCTTGCCAATCAATGCTGATATTTTTTGTGGTAAGTGTTTGGTGAGGCAACCATTTACCCTGAAACCACTGGTTGCGAAAAATTCCCCCAAAACCAAGGGTCCCCAAGGCATCCGTATAGAGAGAAAGGTTTGTAGAATTTTCCCAGAAAGAGTTGAGAAATAGACTTGTCCCATTCCAGTCTTTAAGAAAAAGTTGCCACATTTTTACGTCTTCGCGAAAACCATTCGTCAAGCGAATGTGATGATGTGGTTTGGAGACACCCCGTGTTAGATTTATGATACGTTGCAGAAAAGCTCGACCCGGGGCAATTACTTTGCATGCAAAATTTAATGTGCCAATTAGTGATTGGAGCTCTTGGAGTGTAGCTGACTTTTTTGTGTGCCACGAATTTAAATCAACAAATAGACGGTTCAATTTATCGGATGGAAGACGAGCCTCCATCTTTTGTGAGTCAATGATAATGCCTAGAAATTCTATAATGAGACTGGGTCCTTCAGTTTTATGCTCGGCAATAGGAACACCTAACGTGCGGAATGTTAGCAACATGCTAGAAAGGCTAGTTTGGCATGCTTGAGAAGGTAGCCCAGTTTGGGCCGGTGGTTCCATGATGAGAAAATCGTCTAGAATGTGCCCAACATAGCTTATAAAACACTTGTTGAGTAAAATCCATTCAAGTGCATCCGAAAGTTGATTGAAAATATACGGCGCACTACGCAGACCAAATGGCAACACTTTGTCAAAATAATAGGACTTGTTCCAATATATGCCTAATAACTCCCAGTCGTCAGGATGAACAGGGAATTGACGAAAAGCAGATTCTATGTCAGTTTTAGCTAGATAAGTGCCTCTGCCTAATCGGATTAAAGCCGCAATTGCGTCGTCGATTTTTATGTACTGCAATGAAAAGTCGTCTTTCTCGATAAAGGAATTGATTGATTCTCCCGTTTTTGGAAACGAGAGGTGAAAAATGGTTCGAAATTTATCTGAATGCTTTTTAGGTACAATGCCAATTGGCGAAACCTGTAAATTAGCAAATGGCGGATTGGTGAAAGGACCAGCTGTGTGGCCAAGAGCAACTTCCTTAGCTAAGTTAGTTGAAACAATAGTTGGATTGTCAATGGCAGACTTGAGGTTTTTCGAAAATTTTGACATGCGAGGACCATCGTAACCGAGACGAGCACCGAAACGCAATATATATATATATATATATATATCGAAAAATGCTAAAATTGCAGCTAGGATTCATATTTA